TAATAATAATAATAATAATAATAATAATAATAATAATAATTATAATAATATTAATAATAATAATAATAAATAATAATAATAATAATAATAATAATAATAATAATAATAATAATAATAATAATAATAATAATAATAATAATACAAATTGATAGAGCAGCTTAGCTCAGTCGGCTAATCTGGTGGTAGCCACTGTGCGTGGAGATCTCTAGGTGCCCGGTTCTATTCCCATCGCTGCCTCTCCCTGTGTTTCAGCTAGAGGGCTGACTGTCTCTTATACACATCTAGATGTGTATAAGAGACAGGACTAGACCCTCGGTCAGAGTCCCGGAATAAACTTCCCTGGGCTTATGAGAGAGTTTCTTTTTAGCTTTGTATGGCCCAAAATTTTGCTTTTAAGCCAAAATATTAGGGATTGGCAATCAAAATAATGTTATATGGATAAGCAAATCATTATTTGTGGTGTGGCAACCTTGTCGAGGCATCGGATGATGGGAGTCTAGGCCTGTCAGACGGAAATTCCCCACCTCCCACGCAAATTTGGAATGATGACGTCAACACACCGAATTCCAAAACTACGACAATCAAAATTAAAGGAAATGTTTACCTATTTAAATTTAATCTTTCTATACTACATTTTTCTTCATCATCATTAGTATACTATTATGGGGTTACTCTATAATATTACATAAAAGCGAGAGTATTCCAGTGGATGCGATCTACAACCTCTGAATTTGCCTAGTAACGATGAATTCGTCCAGAAAATGGTAATATTTTATGAGAAATAGTCTGTATTTCTCATTTTTTTTATTCTTTTGCGTAAAACTAAAATTCATGCCAATATTTTCCATGATTTACAATAATTGGAGTAATGCAAATGAATATTTTCTAAAAAAAGTCAGTTTTTAGTGAAATTTTGCTGGGAATGGGGCTTTAAACTTTTCGCAAGCAAAGCAAATACGATCCGCAAACAACGCAAAAGTTGAGCAGCGTCGGCGGTGTTGCGTTGCGTAGCCAAGTTTGCGTCTTCGGTTCCCACTTGCTTGGAAGCCGCAGAACCCCGAATTGCTTCACTTTGCGTCGATACTTTGCGTCGATACGTTGCGTCTGCGTCGTTGCGTTGCGTCCTAGTGGGACTTTATGGCAGATGACGAAGGCGTATTTTTTGGTGCTTTAAACAATTGATTTAGCCATTTGTAGTTGTAAGTTCCCTACTGCTATGATAACTTCACTTGCACTATATGCAGACCGCACACGCATAGGATTGTTTAAGAGGTTTTTCCTAATATCAAAAATTTGACTGTTAATAACAATATCATTAAAGTTAGGTGTAGGATTCCTTTTACCAAGTTTATTCCAATATTGCTTTATTATGTCATTCGTCATTCCATGACGTGCTTGTCTGAAGTTACCTGTTGTGAGTCAAGTAACTTCAAATTAGTAGGAACAATCAAGTGTTTAGGTCCTCTTAATTCATTCCAAAAGTCTTTCGAACTTGGGCCCCCATGTTTTTCCGATCGAAACACTTTTCTCAATCCATACCTGCATTATTTTATTATTTAGTAAATTCTTTACTTCTGTTTTCTTAAGCTTATACACATCCCACAAGGTGTCCTCCTTCCTTGTAATGTTTTCACCATATGCGATGCTCTTTACAAGCTCGTTTCCGCTCCTGAACAGCAATTGTCTTATCCCACCATCGTTTACAACCTTTCTTAACAACCTTACAGCATATTGTATCATTAGCTACTAAGGTAAGAGTGTTTTTCCATTTTTCCCAAATTAGATTTGCATCACTATTAAAGTCAGTAATATTTGTAATCCAGCTACTATTATCAAAATTGTCTTTATTTGAAGTTTGATATGCTATCCAATCTTGGTCATGTTTAATGTTCCACACTTTATGTTTAATGGGAATACTTTCCATATCTTTTACACTAGATTCAAATTTAAGATGTGTAAATAACACGTTTATGGTCACTACCCAAATGGTGATTTCTTTCGTCATCAACTACCATACTATTGATATATTTGTCAATACTATTAGAAGAAAGAATATAGTCAATACAGCTGGTTGCCTAAATCAAGTTAGTTTGCCATGGCAATTGTTTGAGCAGATGTTTAGACTTGAGTCTTCACTAAAGCTAAGCAAACTTTCCCCATAAGTATTAATAATCGGGTCACCATCACGAATGCCAATTCTACCATTAAAATATCTAATATTAAAATTAGAATATGTGGATCATTATCTTGATACTCATTTTCAAGTTTAATTATTTCAAAGAGTAGATGACATATAGCTCATCTACAAGTTCTGGGTTTGACCCCTCTACTGGAAAATAGACAACCGCAATGTTGAGCAATGTATTAGAAATTTTTACACGAATCCAAACTCTTTCCAGATCACCACATTCTGAAACATAGGTTCTCGTTTAAGACATCTATTTTACTTGATACGAGCAGGCCAATTCCACCTCCTCCTTTACCGACTCTATTTTTACCAAACCACCTAAAACATTTAATATTTATAATTTATTCTGACAAAATATGTTTCGGTAATACCAAAAATATCAATCTTACATTCTACTAAAAAGCTCCTAATGTCATACAATTTGTTTTTAACCCGGTTAAATGCAATAGTAGGCATAACATCAATATTATAGTGTATTTTTTTGTTTTGCTTTTTACGGTTTCCACGTGTAACTCGTTTACGTTTACTATAATCATCATTACCATTGTTTGTTTGTACAATTATCATTACCATTGTACTTGTTTGTTTGTTTCTAGGCTGTATTTGTAGATTCGTTGGGAGGCATAAGTAGGGTCGTCTTCCGGGTACAAATGATTTGTGTCCAAATTCATAACAATGGCATTGTACTGGTTCAGGGTATATGCAGTCCTCAGTTACGTGATTTACCAGACCATAGGTTTTACAAAAGCCACCTAAATGTTGAGAGTGGCCATGTCTAGGTCTACAGTCAAACTCATACGAGTTTTGTCTTTGGGACTTATAACGTAGACGATCGGCATCGTTGTTTCTCAGTTTGAAGGATTTATCGTTGTCAGTAAGAATGCATTGATGTTCTGAATTGTGCTGAAGTCCCGTGTTGAATTTCTCAACTCCCTCAAAACAAATGTATATATCGATCGTTGAAAATCGCAGCTAGCAGCTAGAGTGGTTGATTGAAACAAGCGAATTCTTTATAAAAAAAAAAAAATAACGGAATTTTGTGTTAATTATGGGATTCTGTCGGGTGTACTGGCCCATCCAGCTAAACTGATCATTTGGGGTCCTCACATACTTAAAAAATACAACCCCCCCCCCTCCACCCGTCGGAGGTAACCGCCACGTGTCGGGGAAGCAATTCAACGTTTTAATCTATTTTTAAGGGGTTTCCCCACCAGATTTCACATCAGACGACGGTATACATTATCTGTAGATTTATCCGATCCATTCGTATGAGTTCATTATAAATACAGAACTGAAATCAACCGATTCATCCATGTTATTTTCGGTTGATTTTAGTTCATTATAAATACAGAACTGAAATCAACCGAAAATAACATGGATGAATCGAAGTAGCACTATGATTAAGACATGCATTTTCCACGATAGCTTCAGGTTACTTTAGATTGTGGCGTGGAAAGAACAATGCAGAATTCGCCGACTATTCATGAATCGATACTCAGAGCGATCATAATACGAAAACAATGATGGGACAATTCTGTATGAATACACTTCACGGAATATTTTACTCCAATAATTTTGCAATTGTATAATTAAGATAGAGTATACAACTGCACTGTGCACAGTAGTACTACTACAATATAAAGAATCCAACGCTAGCGTACATTAATCCAAATTCATCCTTGTATGCTTTTAAAAATGTAAACATTCTGAAGTATCTCTCTCCAATTGGCTGGGCATGTAGCCTCATTTAACGTGTGCGATTATGATAACGAATGTGTAATATGTCCGATCTTAACTGTAAAGAAACGCTTAAGAAGCAAACACGTTTTGACTTTATGGCATGGGGTCATGGGGTTCATAACATTTGCTTTGCGGTACTGGATAATAGAGAGCTTTCGATTGCACGAGACAGTAGGACGTAGAACGTAAAGACGTCACTAAAAGTCATCTGCGCATGCGAGAACGTTAAGGTCACCTCGTCGAGTTGATCTGGAACGTAATCTACGTATGCAGCAGAGAACGTTGAACGCCAGGTAGGACGGTCACGCATGAGTGATTCTGTTCTAGCGTTGCGTCGTCGCACAAATCGAAAGCTCCCTAATATAGGCCTACCACCTCATCATCATCATTATTTATCACCACCATCATCATGATGAACTTTTATAATACAGTCAATATTGATTGTAAATTCAATTTTTCGCAATTGTTCACATCTTCTTCCCCTACGCTAGATTATGTTCGGTTCTAGCTCAGAGCATATACGAAACGAGATTAAAAACTCGATATATTTTGTAGGAGTACGAGTATGGTACGTATTGGAACGAGCAATTTTCTCGGGTGAACCGATTCTCAAACGAGATAGCAAAAAGCTCTCCATTGTGATCAAGAATCTGTACTTCTTAAAAGGGAACTAGAATGATGATTTTTTTAAAATTTTTTTATAGAGGGGATTTTCTATATGTCACTAGTAACAGAATAATTTTAAAGTTAATTCTATTACTAATGACATCAAAAATCCCCTCTAGAAAAAAATATCATCTTTCTAGTTCCATTTTGACTGGGTCTGATAATGACAATCTTAAACTGATTGGAAACATACTAGTAGAGAAAACCGACGTGTAATGGAAAGCAATGATTGTAAAGAGATTTGGAGGGCCAAGCTCAGATGAATATAAAGGTATCACTAAAAAGTGCAACAAGTGAATTTTTTTTTCTGAAGGCTATGCTGATGGATATCCAGTGACGTACACCTTTCAATGGCAAAAGCCAGAACTCCTAGAAAAGTAATCGGTATATTTTTTGCCTGGACCGGGCACCAAATCGACCGGCCTTGACTCCTTAATAGCAGAACGTATAGAAACAAGCCATTAAAACGACAAACACGCTACGTACCCCATAGAGGCCCTACATCCCGGGTATCTTCACTGCCCGGGCAGATCTATGGTGTCCCCCACCCCAGACGCTACGGACTTTTAATGGAAAGGTTTTGAATACCAGATGCTTATAAAACATTAATGAGAGGCGTGAGAAGTTATGTTCACGAAATAGATAAAATAATAATAACTATTTTGTCTAAATTCAATATTTTTTATTACGCAAGACAATATATCCGAAGTTAGTATCAATGAATAAATCGATATGAAGCTTAACATAACATTTCATGAAATTCTTCTTCATTTCGTCTTGACCTGTCTAGTGTTTCTCATTACAATATGTTGACTTTACAAATAGTTACGTCTATATGTAGATGTACAAAGGGCATTATTGTATTTCACAATAGTACCAATGAAATGCACTAATCTCTCTCTGATACAAGTTTTAAATAATAAAACTGAACTAAATAATTATTGATTAAGCATGTAATTCACCTTATTGCAGGTATTGTGGTAAGCATACAGTTTGATAGTTCCAATGCCAATTGATAATTATGAATTATGATGTTACTTGAAAAATCAATGTATATATATATATATATATATTCTTTCTTTCTTTCTTTATTGTATACGCAAAAAACAAACAAATGGTATACAATAGGAGCCAAGAAATAGACAAGTCTAATCGAGCTTGGCCCCTTTCTTAACTATCCCCCTCAGCCCCAATAAATAAAATAGAATAAAATAAATATATAAATAAAATAATGAAAATAAATAAATAGGCATCAATCTTCATACTCGGAATAAAGTAATTTTTTTCAGTTTTGAAACAAATACACATTAACGTAATCTATAACAAAATCAAATGGATATTTCGATAGCGCCTGCTATCTTCGTCAATGTAATAAGTTTGTGTTCCGCAAGTCAACTGTCAATGATTGTACACCATTTTTTCATTGCTTTTGCATTTTATTTCACTTGGAGCATACATGCAAACCCACTCTTCAATATATATATATATCTATATATAGATTGTACATACAGTAGTATAATGAATTTCAAAGTCATTAATGCTACTGTAAGCCAGCTCTCAATTGTTGGTCACCATATTATTGTTTTAATAGGCTCAACATTTTTGGTCTTATGATGGCGAAAAATCTAAAGAGAAGTTGAACACAGTGTTTTCAAGGAGAAAATACTCATTAATAAGTAGATTAGGTGGATGACATGTTGGTTACCAAGGTACCTCACAGGAATATTGGGTCATTATATCAAAAAATTTTTCATTACTAAGGGGGTCTACAGAGTATCATTTATTCGATACTATGTTGAAGAAACAGTAAAAAAAAAAACACCATTCATTATGTTTTATAAATTGAGGAAAAAGTTTTATTAAACAAGACAGACAAGTTCGCAAATTTCGAAGAATAACTTAATATGAAGTTTAACAAAAGTGTATTTTTAATAAAATTCTATATTATTAATATTTATTGTTAATCTAGTTTCGCACTTAGATGTCGGCTTTACAAACGATTTTCTTCTATACACAGTATGCATAAAAAGCATTTTAATACGGTAAACTATGCTAATAACAATTTTCAATACTACATTAAAAATTAAATTAGAATTATCTCAACATTGTACGACAGAGTAATTTTAGCTAGTGAATAAGAGGCATTTATAAGGCATTAGTTTTCATTATCTTCCCATTGTAATGAACTCGCCTTATTACATGTATTGAGATAGGCATAGAGTTGGATATTCCAGTACCAATACCAACGCTGTACGACAGACAGTTCTGAGACAACAAACTCCTTTGTACTCCTCTCATACCGACCTGTGATAATGTAAGTCATTCCAACTTGAAAATTTGGGCAGGGACATTTTCTGGAACGTCCATATGCTATTAATGTGTCTTCGTAGTCTGGTCTACGAACCCCTTTGTCTAGGCGATACAGGTATGGGACCAACACTTTTATTTCTTTGTACCGGTTGAACACCGATACTTTCTGGATTTGTACAACAATGGCTGTGAAAGAACAATTCATTTATAAATTTTGTTTATTGTAGGTGAATATTTTTAACATATTGATGAAACAATAACAATCAATCAATAAATCAATCAATCCATCAATTAATTTGTGAATCAATACAGTTGATTAACCGTGTGTTTCAGTAATAATCCTGTATGTTTTATACAATATAAATAAGTATTTTGTAATTTAATATTCCTTTTGTTATCCAAGTCATCTTATATCTTGTTCAAATCCAATGTGATTTTATTGATAAAATCTGCAATTCAAGGTCACTGTGTTTTATATTTAATGAGCGTTATGGTAATGAATTGGATTTGTAGAAGCGATTGGCACATTGATTATGGCTTGGACTCCCAACCTTGAGGTTAATAGATCGAAATTCTCGCTGTGCATGTCGCTTGTGTCTTTGGGCAAGGCACTTTATCTATGTTTGTCTCTCTCTACCCAGGAGTATAAATGGGTACCTGGTAGAATGTTGTGGCATTGAATGTTCTAGTTTCGTGCGCTAAAGAAGTAGAGAATGACTAGGGATACTCCCCAGGGAGCAGAGAAGGTTGCACTTTGTGTTGGTTTGCCATTGTACGTTATCCAGTGACCATGGGTAATAATGCTCGTGCCTTTGATTATTCAATTTGAAATTGGCGCCTTACAAATATTTGGGTGGTGGTGGTGGTATTATTATTATTATTATTAATTATATATTATTATTATTATTATTATTATTATTATTTCTTCTTCTCCAGCGTGAAACACCCAAGACCAAAGATTTATATCCAGTGCCTTCTTTCTGGTAGTAATTTTGGCAGTACAGTACATACCAGGAGAAATCCCCTCTTTGAAAGTTTTTAATATGCACATGGGCCATATAGCACACAGGAATGACAGCTTAATAACTTCATTACTTCCTAAAAAATCCAGCCCAGGAGAGTAACAATGAATTGAACCAGGGGCCAAAAATCTGATAGCACCTCCATAGGTAACCACACACAATGGATACCACCAGTTTAGATGACTGAGCTAAGCTACTCTCTGACATTTTAATTACTTTTATCACTCACTACGTAGTAGCCTGTGTTCCTCCAGGCCCTAATTTTGGGTTACTCACTCTTTATTGCACTTAGTACACGCCATACCAAATTTAATTGGCATCCCATACACAAGTTATTTTCTTTCTGATTATAATTATTACATTTATTTACTTGCTCGTTGGTGGCACCATCCAGAATGATAAAAAAAAAGGCAAGTCTAACCATTACGTACCAAATGAACTTCTGCAGTAGGTAACATTGGTCATCAGCGGTGTGTTGCAAGTCTTCGGACAGGTAGTGATTCCTGGACGGTGAAGATGGACCAGTTTAATATTACGATGTGAAAAGCCCATGCTACTACCATCAGACATGCAGGTGATATATTGGGGTTAGCAGGTACACCTGTATTTGGACCTGCAGCAACAAGCGATTAGATATGTTTTGCAAACAAGTATATGCGGAAAAGCAAACAAAATATATACGATTAAAATAAAGTTGCTAGTTAAAATTGTTAGTTTTTATTAGACACAGAGAAAGGCAATACAAAAAAGGCTTAGATAGCAACGATGTCACATATGATTTGTGGGATATCATTATTTTCAAATTTAAGATTCCATAATTTTTCTCTTCAGTATATAATCAAACTCCAATTTACCTTGAATAAAGCTTCTAATATATAACTTATAGTTTTCATTTACAACTATTTAATTACTTTTACTAGTATACTGTAATTTTGTTTCTATATTCATCATTATTGGCATTCTGCTGATCGAAGCAGGTCCATTTATGAGTTAGTTGTCAGTTTGGAATTGAAATCTGAAAGTTTCATTAAGCATAAAGACAAGATAAATTCAATTATTGTTCTATAAAGAAATTGACATCTGAAAGCTACAAAGCAAAGACATAGTTTAGATTTATTCAGTTCATTCAGATTTAAAATACATTATAAATAAAAAGACAGAAAAGATATGCAACAAAACAAATGACAACATCCAAATGACTCAAGGAATAACCCAAGGAAGTTTTAAAATAAACTTATTTCCATTGGTGTCTTTAAGACAACATTGAGAAAGATTCATAATAAAAAGTGGAAAAACAAGAATTACAATTTTAAACCACAAAAACCATATTGGTTGAATAATAGTTTAAACATTCTATACAAATGATATGATACAACACAGCAATTAAAATGATAAATATTATTAGTAATTGTTGATGATATTAATGTAGCAATAACAACAATAATTATTAATAACACAAATAATAGTAATTAATAACAGTATAATAATAACAATAAACAATTATATATGAATATATAGATGGTAATAACGTAGCAATAATAGCAATAGCAATTATCAAGAATAATAATAATTATTGTTAATAAGTACAGTAACACATATATAGGTAAATATTAAATAAAATAATAATAAACATAAATCAATTCGTGATAAATACACATACTATTTCATCTTAAATTATCGTTATTATTTATTTTGAATGCACCAAATTAACAAGCAATCATAAAAAAAGTTCCAAAAGTGGTATTTAAGAGAAGAGAGAATTGTATTTGAATTTTTAATTTATTATTTAAGTTTGAATTAGAACAATTTTTTTTTGTAATTACACTATATAATTCATAACTTACTTGGTTTACTTGGAGTAAATGGTGTAATTGTCCCTTTAATTGGGAATCCTTCCTCATTTATCGGACATTCAGATGGATTCCGCCTCCTAAAAAAATGAAAATTAAGCAAGATTAATAGTAATCACAATACCAGGGATGTTTTTATAAACATCTGTTATTATAGTTAACAGTTGTTATTGTTACTGTAAGTATTAACATTATAGCCATACTTGCAAAGACTACTTAAAACTTAACAAAGTTGATGTTACATAGATAAGAGAAATGTTCTCACAAGAAATATAATTTATTTTACAATGTGTACATAAACGTATACTTAACTTATAAATATAAATAAATAACTTAATCATATATATACACATTGCATATATCTGTCTCTTATACACATCTAGATGTGTATAAGAGACAGTATGCACATGGGCCATATAGCACACAGGAATGACAGCTTAATAACTTCATTACTTCCTAAAAAATCCAGCCCAGGAGAGTAACAATGAATTGAATCTCCCAAACATATGTCACTGTTCTCCCATGTTCCATTATTCTCAACCAATTTGAACAACCGCCTGCAATAAGGGAAGATGATTTATTTATTCAATCAATTTGTCAGTTGGTCAATCAATACAGTGACACTGGTTCCTTCTGCTGTCTTCTCTTTGTCTCTGTGGTTGTTTGCTTTTGTTAGTCTTAGGATATTTCTCGGTTTTTTTTTTCTGCTTCCAAGACTTTGCATTTCAAGCGCATAGAGACTATTGTAATATGCGCTTAATAAATATACAGCCATTACCAATACCAATGAATCAAACAATTAATCAATACAGTGAAAGAGAAGTAAAGTTCAATTAAAAACATGCGGCAACCGCAGTACTGTTATAGTACTATATTATAGTATTAATATAACTTACGAATATAGGCCAAATCAATAAAACCATTGGACTGAACTTTTACCTCACTACCCCATTACCTCACTAACCCAGTGGGCATCTGTTAAACGTCTCTTTAATTATTATATATGAAGTCTTTGACAGGACAATAGCCAATTCATGACAAAAAGACTAAGTGGTCAACTCCTTACATTTGATTTATAAAATAAGCTTAATTGAGAGACAACTTGTTACTAAATTTAAGTTCACTTTTACCCCCAAAGTTTGTTATATTATCTGACCAATAGAAACTCCCCAAAATGATTTAATAGTCAAATATGATTAGGATAAGGTGATATCTTTCAACCAGTCAGAGAAAGTCCACCACACCCCAAGCTTGTATGAAAAGTAAAGTATTAGTTACTGTATCCAGAAAAGACTTCCTTCTGATACCTTGAAGGAAACACTACGTCTCACAACCCTACTTGTATATATTGTATATATCATGCAGTAGAATAGTAAATAAACACTTTGAATTATAACCAGAAGAGATGTAGTCAGTTCAGTTAAGTAAACCATCTCGCTTGTCATATCATGTATTCATCTTGCACTACCAAATTTAATTTTTTCCGCCATCGCAGTTGGTATGGATTAGGCAGTGGAGGGGGAGAGAATTCTCTGGCCCTTTCCAAAGAGAGTACTGGATTAATTAATGTGTACAATGGCAATGTAGTAAAGGGGACCTAAAGTCTCTTCTGAAAGACAATGCATTTTAACCTGTATTACAGGGACAACTTTCTGATGTAAAAGAATCAATCAATCAAGTAACAAAAACACACAGAAAATAACAGTAGTTAGAAAGGCAACTATATTTAAAGACGAGTGAAAATGAGAGATAAATTAAAGAAAGATTAGATGAGAGGAGAAAAGGTAATAAATATCAGTCTCTGTGCTTGTATGCAATAAGTGCTCCAGACACAATTTATGTTTTCAAATTTTTGCTTTTCCGCTGTCTACTTTCTCAAGTGCCTTGAGCATTTCTTTAAAATAGATATGAGCGCTATTATTACAAGTTATTATAATTATTTAATAATAACATAATGGACCTAATCTTTATGCCTCCATGGATACAATGCTGTCAATTACAAAACTAATTTGACGTTTATGAGTAATAATTTTGTTATTGGTTTCCAAAATAGCATTGTTATTAAAGCTCCAGGCATGTCCATTATCATTTAAATCATATACTGATGCTGTTACTTGTGAGAATATATTTTATTTTATTTATTTTTATTTATTTCAACCATCTTTAAAGAGGGTAACCCTTCCAGTTTAGCCCAGTAGGTTAACTGATATTCAGGGGCCCTCTTTAATAAAATCAAAAAACAGTACAAACAACATCATTACAACATAATAATAATAACAATAACAACAACAATAATAATAATAATAATAACATACAATCCTCATAACATATATAAAGAATATAAAAATAATTACCCTACCCATTCATGAAATCTCCATATATATAGTGTCCATTCATATTAGGAAACAAACAACCTCGATAGATGTGTCCACCAATCACGGATTTACCAACCGTATGAGGATAGGCATGAATTGGAAGAACTTCGTCCACTGAAATAAAGAGTATGTTTAATAAAGTACAGGATTCAAGATTCAAGTTTTAAGATTACTTATTGTCCAAAAAATGTAAATTCTGTGTGGGTGTAACCATTTCAATACGTAAGATACAAAAATATATATAAACATCAAAAATAGCAAAAGTAACGAATTTAAAATATGGAAAAAGATATTGCCTATGTATATACAGTTAATAAATGTAATTAAAATAGACAAGGGATATACATTAATTTAGGCATTTGAGTTGTATCTTATTGCAAAAGGTATGAATGATCTCTTTCCTGAGCACAAACATTTACATTAAAAGAGACATGGTTTTTATCTTCTAATACTCGCTGGACTCCATTATTAAAAAACTCCAGTTATTCTCCAAACAGTTCATAACATGCGTAATAGTAGGTATGGGGTAATGTAAAAATATGCCTACTCAAAATTTTACAAATAACAAATCTTCATCCACCTCAAAAAGGCAGCCTTAACCATACCATCCCCCAACCCCTTACATGCATCTTAATACCCTTTTAGAAATAATAAATTTCAGGTAAGCCTAACTTCTGAATTAAACAGATAGGTATCACTTACCAAGCCACTGTGGATCATCACACATTTCCTCATCGTAACACTCAAAACCCTCCTTTGCACGCCACCCGTAATTCCCACCACTGATGATGATGTCGACCTCTTCGTAAGCAGATTGTCCAACATCACCGCATATGATGCGTCCTCTCCCTTCACCAGTTTCCAGATCCCCTGCATCCATACCACATCTCCACATGTTACGGACACCATATGCATATATTTCATGTCTGGTCCTATTTTTATTGCGGTAAACAAATGGATTTGTTGGAGGGATAGCGTAATTTTTACCATCATCTTCGGAATCAACATCAATTCTTAAGATCTTACCTAATAAATTTGTCCTGCAAAAGTAAAGAGACCCTTAATATATATTACATTCAATAATGTATATGACATTAATACAGTATTATCTATATACCATCCATGTTTATATTATTTTATTGCATCTTATATCTTATTGTCACTTTGGCCTTTTTAAATATCAAAGAACACAATTTTTAAAGAATTAAATAGAGACCCTAGATTTCTGAGATTTTGTGTCGGTTTTTGGCCTGATGGTTATCAATATTAATATTAAAAAATACAAAATTTAGGATCATTACAGCTTCTACATACATGTTTTGTGCATTTCCATATTTGCCAAAAGGATCTCCAGCTTTCCCACCATCACCTATAGAAACGTATAAATAACCGTCAGTACCAAATAACATCTGACCCCCATTGTGATTGGCTGCTGGTTCGACCACTTGGAGTATCACCTTTTCGGATTTAGTGTCCACCCTGTTACCGTTATTTACCTTTGTGGAGAATTCACTAACGCGTACAGTATCAGTGTCCGTTTCTTCATCTGTTGTAGTGTAGAATACGAACAGACGATTATTTTCTTTATAGTTTGGATGGAAAGCTAATCCCAGGAGACCCCTCTCATCACCTCTTCTTGTTGATGTCAGAACCGCCTTTCTGAGATCAAGAAATGGTTTGTCGATTCTGGACCCATTTCTAAGGTACACATGGATGATCCCAAGTTGCTCTGCTACATAAAGTCTGTGAGTGCTATCATTTGCATGAACAGCAAGAACAGGATTCCGAAGTCCATTTGCAAATTCCTCAAGGCACAGGCAACCATCCCCTATTCCTCCTAATGCTCTATCGAGTTCGGAGTTCAAGTCTGCATTATCCAATATATTAGGGTAGCAATAGTCCATATCGGGTATTTCTACGGCATCGCAAAATTCAACACTTCCTCTTTTTCCCATTTTTCGTAGATGAGAATCTTCAGTTAATAATGGAATAACATTTGAACACAGACTGTGAAAATAAATACAATAGTGATTACATAGTCCCGGTAAAGGGCGTATTGTTCCAGTTGTTTCGGAATCATACAGGTGGGCAGCGTACGGAGAACATTCCTGACATAAGATATCCCGGATATAATCAACGCAATAGGATGGATTTTCATCGCTCATTTTTCGCGTAATCGCAAGGTACTCGTCATAAAGCTCATTGTCGCGTTCAACAGTACAGCAGGAAAGTTCATAGTACATTGAGCAAAATGTTAAATCTTCACTATTTTCAAATGGTGGGTAAAAATCAAGACATTGTGGATGAGAACTTATCAGTGAAACCTTAAAAAATAAGGTGAAAATTATCAAAATAAACTGCATTTTAGCAACGATTAACCACCAGGTAATGAAACAGTCCAACTTCAAAACATCAAAAACGCTGTACAAAATCTGGAAGGAAAAAACAATATTATTTTGCCTTGAGAAACAATGCATTATTAGTATTGTTAATAGTTTTTATTAATAATAAGTTAATATTATTGTTTAGATTATTAATGTATACACAATGAAGCTTTAAAAAGTTGAGAGGGCATTGGTTTGTTATATGGCCTTACCCCTCTTATAGCCCTATTAGGGTGCAAAAAAAAAATCAAACATGAATCTTGTCATTGGTCTACTACAGTAGACACCTTGTAGAGCCACTACTGGTCAGAATGAATGGTATTTGCAAGCATGAACCTACAGCAGGGGCGGATTTAGGAGGGGGGGGTGTGGTCGGCCCGGCCCCAGCCCCCCTTTTGGGAGGTAAAAAAAAGAAAAAAAAGAGAAAAAGAAAAAAATGATAGCCGAGAATGCATCAAATGTCATGTTCGGGCGTCTAGAACACAAAAATTCCGCGGGGGAATGCCCCGGACCCCTTACAACGGTGTTGTCTCATTCGGCCCAACTTTCGGCCCCCCCTCACGCCCTTTTGGATATTTCTGGATCCGCCCCTGTACAGTCATTAGTATTGATTGGTATATGTTTTAAGTATTAAACTTCTATATTATTATTAATATTACAGTACTGTATATACTAACTAAAACAGTGGCGTAGTGAGTGGTGAAGAGCCCAGTGCAAGATAATTGCTGGGCCCTTTAATGTGAAGCCTGGAGGGGCGGATAGAAAGTTTCTTTCTGACCATCTCGCAAATGTGAGTCCGGAGTACATTTAGCTGGGGTCTTAAAAGGTACCTACCTAATCAGATCATGAGACAGAGTCTTGGTTGGGTCTACTTAGGCAAAACTGTTAATTAATGCACATACATTCTGATAAGCTATTTATTTATTATTGTAAAGTGCAGAAATATCAATAAAATTTTCAAGAATACTGTGAACAAAACAAGTCATATATAATTTCGTTTAGGGCCTATTGGGCATTTTATAAGTGTCTGATAAAGATGTAATATTGACAATAACAGGACAATCATCCACCTAAATGCAGTGAAGTGAATCTAAAACATATCACCTGACGTGATTCAAATACATCAACAATATAGTTGAACAAACTTTAAAATATCAATTGCTTTAGAAATAAGCTTTCTAAAAATTTTTTTTAGTGCATCGTACCGTGGTCCGGGGTACAAAGCATAAGTACCTGAATAAAAGAAAATCGCCTTGAAAATATTCAAAAGATACAAAGCTGTTCATGGCTTATATTTTTGTAAAAAAGTTAAAAGTCATCCTACTTGCAGTGTTTGGAGGCACATAAAAAATAAATTTTAATGAAAATATTCAATAATTATGGCCTCTAAAACTTGATATTATTGAGAGGTCCTTTTAAAATTTAAGTTGAATTTTTGTTAAATCTGTATTATCTTTGAACAGGCCCCCAATAGCCTTGGGCCCCAGTACTTTGTAATGTACTGCCCATACCTACACCACTGATCTAAATTTACATTATCTTTAAAGAAGGATGATTAACTATGATGATAAAAAAAAAACAAAACTTACACCACTGAGTTCCAAAAGATATATAAAGAAGTTTATTGCAGGAAATCAGTCAGCAGAAATACAGGAAATCAAGCATCTGTTAGAATAAGCATGGACTGAATGAGGGAGGAATTAAGTCATCACCATCGAGGCCAAATAAACATGCCCTGTTCATCAGGAGGCTAATCATATTTAATCATTCCAATTTTATACCAGCAGTAGTATGACACTTGACCTTTTTAAGACCGCTTCTCAGTGGATCCACTAGCTTTTTTTTTACATGTTCACACATTACCTTGGGGTTGAACCTATGGAGCTATATAAGTCTTGTCATAGTATCGTAGGCCCATGTACAATGGTTATTCAAAAGGCACAAAGTATATCTGTACTAGTATGCTATGTGGATTTTTATTGGATCCCATTACTAAGTAAACATAATATAACCTTGCCCATATCTACACAATAGCCAAAAAGAGTGTCATGGTTCATAGTGCATGTGAACATTTCATAAATTTGGTGGCATTTGTCAGAATAACAACACATTGAATAGGAAATCTGTAGCAAATTTTTAAAAATTATATAAAATATATGTGTCATGTGTATATGCTCGCAAGTTACCCAAATTTTGTCCATACTATCATATTTTGTGCCAAACTTATATTTGCCCATATATGGGCATGGTTATCACACCCATATTTGGAAAAATAATCAGAACTAGCTAGTTTATACACATGGTGTCAAGACTAAATGGATATTATTTTTTTTTTCCAGAGTTGACACCCCCTCAAACAGCTGAATAACTCATTTAGCTTTAAATATATGCACAGGCTTACTGTATTTTGCAAGAATAATGATAATCCTAATATTATGTATTGTCACAAGCTTTCGTGTACACAGTACACTTCTTCAGGTGAATGATAAGAGGAGCAACATGCAATCAAATATTAAAGGTCTAAAACAAAAGGCAAGTAATAGAAACAATGGAGGTATTAACATAACAATGAAATCATTCCCTGTAGTGGGCAAGAAAGCCATAGTCTTTGTTTAAACCCAAGTTAACACAGTCAATTTGATTAATTATTTTCTGTTCACAAATTTCCCTATCTAGCTTGTGACAATACATATTTCAACTAGTCTATAAAGTGCTACCATTTTCTTATTGTTTGATTACTGTTAAGACTAGTACGGCTCACCATATTATTTACCTAATATTATGGTAAAGGTATCTTGAATTCATGCATTAATATATATTGCATAATTTTTATTGGTACATCATTAGTACAGCAATTCATAACAATACCTATAAACGCCTATTTGAAAATACATTATCATACCCTCAGATAAAATAAATTAACCACAAAATAATCAGCCCCAGTGGGTCTGCTCGCACAGCACAAAATGCTGCACCAGTCCCAGTAGTCAAAGCAAAGGTGATGTATGCAACAGCTACACTCACATCCACAGCTAGCTGCCTTTAAATTCAGAAACTATGTTAATTACTGTAAGTGGTTCTTGAATATATAGACGAAAAGTTTTAAAAGTACGTTGTTGGCATTAGTCAAAGTATTTTCATTAGCATTAGCAAGTACACTTAAAATATAAAGTTAAGCCCTGTCCAGAATTTCAAACTGTATTTGATAAAAAAAAAATGTGACATGCCTAAATATGGTCAAGATAACATCACATCATGACCATATATAGGTATATCATGACCATATATGGGTATATCATGACCATATATGGGTACATCATGACCATATATTGGCACATCATGACTATATATGGGCATACAACAGGTTTTTGTTTAAAATTTGTCTAAGTGTTTGTTATAATTCAACTAAATTTCTTGGGACATTTGCACCATTATACTACCATTGTCTTTGAACTTAAGGTTATTCACTGCACATATTGTGAGAAGGGCTTTGGAAATATAATAAATTTATAGCATTCGGCATCGTCATAAGGAAAGCTGGTCCCACGCCAGCGGTTGTCTCTCCCAGGAGCATCTGAACTAATCCTTGTTGCTTAAAGGACGGAAGACTAGGCCTAAGCCTATGCAATTATGTCATAAGTCTATGTCAACAAACAAGATTAAAATACAATTAACATGTCAAAAGTGTAATGCATGTAATGTCTGTGCAGTAAACTTCAATAATCGATTTTCTTTCTTTACTGGTTTAAATTCTTTAGAATGTTCCCGAGCATCAAACCTGACAGAAAAATATGGCTTTCAGCCAGAAATCTTTATTTTTTGGTTTGAAAATTGTGGCCATTGCATGGCCGATGGAGAAATAAGCACCAACATCTGCCCAATACTGCCACTGGTCACAGCAACTATACAACACTCAAATCCATTTGAGTAAATTTGAACACTAAAAAATCACACGCTTTCTCCAAAAAATGTTAAAAAAGTAGATACTCCTATGTTATCATCTACTTAAGTAGGAATCTTGAGTAAATTTGGTAGAATATATAATAATCCTTACACTTGAATTCCAGAAGATCTGATAACATTTATTGAAACTGCTTTAACATTAGACTTGTACAAAACATCAGGAACCATACATAAATGTTGTTATGCCTTATGCTTATACTGTAAGGTTATTTTAACATAACTTGATTCAATGCATCAATTTCCCTTAAATTACACAAGGGTAGATTCTCTCATTTTATCATAAACTTTACTTAGTTTTTTGACACATGTTCTAGGTCTTGGTGTTCATTTTTTAAGCAAAATATATAAAAGAACATAAAATGGTTTTTGCGACACAACGTTCCACTAACTGGAATAAAATCCTTACAAACTTAGACACCATTTTGTTTAAAATTACTTATATTAAAATGTAAGTAGTCTAGTAAGTATGGTGTGGTTGGTTATGACATTTATACAAATGGTTTAATAAAAGATGGTGTGAAGGAGATGCCAAGTTGCATACTACAGTTTCTCGGGTATACTCCTATCTTCTACACTACGGCAAATAAATTTATACCAGCCCGAGGTATGATTTTTGAAGAAAGATTTGAACGAGTAGCTTAGACAATCAATGCTGAGAAATTGTCTTTCGACTAGCCATTACTACAAATCATGGGACATGCTATATACAATGGATGTAAGCCTAAAACTCCCCTCCCCACCCAAAAAAAAAAAAAGGCCCAATTTTTCATTCAAGGAGCGTTAGCTTATACCAGAGAACTTCTGTATCTACAGTATACGTACAGTATGCACCATAATAATACAGTTTTGCAAAAGCAAGATTGACAGAATTAGTTACATCAACATCTAAGATGGTGTTGTGCAACTCAATCCAAAACAGAATTAGGCCTAAGTCTTGTATGCTCAAAAAGCTATATATTTAAAAGCTGTTAATTCAAATGCGCCTTTTATTATTCTGTTTAGAATGCTACGGTAGTGCGTTTGGAACAGTAGTATTGTAAATCTTCCACATCAAAGTTGGAAAATCAAATGTATTAGATATTAAAAACTTGTAATACTCTTTATCCTTCTGTTAGATTGGCAAAAAACTGCTTAAATACTGAAAATATCTTTCACTTATCTCCGGCTGATTAACTCCAGTTAAATTGTGTCTACATAAACAAGAAAACTGATAAATTTACAGCATCACGGTGCAAAATACTGGAGACAATACTTTAGTTAATAGCAATTAACTTTCAGAGTATAAAGTTAGTTTTCCCAGAACAAATCACTTTGTTACTCAGATCCATGGTGAATGTTAACCTTTGGTTGATCAACATAATACTCAGTTACGGTTGGTATTCCGTTGTGGCAAGTGTGATCTTGGTCTCAAAGGTTTTCCTCTAAGAATTCCCTTAAAAAACAAAAGTAATGTAATTAATATAAAAACATATTAAGGTATGAATTTACAGAAAATGGACCATATTCATTGAGTTGAGCATGTTAAAGAAGTAAACTTCCGGAGATTGTTATAATTTAATGAGTATACTATGAAAATTATCTATTACGTTTGTAAACTTGGACTCTTGATGTGATGCGGCAAAGACGTTTACGTTGGTTTGGTCATGCAGAAAAGGAGAGATGAAGACAACTGTCTGAGGAGGGTCCAACATACTTGGTTAATGGCAACAGTGAACGTGGTAGACACTACAAAACCTGGGCTCGCATGATTAGAGATGATCTTCGTGCAAAGGGATTGAAAAGAGAGCTTGCACAGACTCGTGCAGAATGTAAAGCTGCCATTACAAATACAGTCTAACCCATGCTTGCATGGAATAATAATAGACTATAAATTGATGATGATGATGATGAGAGAATGAATATCTACCTCAGAAATACTTGGTTTTGTTGAGAGCATTGTGGGCAAAGTTATCATCTGTCATTTTCTGCCAATCTTGCTGAGTTTGTCCCACGACAAACCCCATCGCTCTTTTCAGATCCTGATCCTTCTGTTCTTCGATGTCTGCCCAGCGTACCTAATAAGAGAAAACATCAGTAAAGAACAGAGCAGAATTTAGTAAAATTGATACACACAATAAGAGAGTCAGTGAAAATGACGCAAGTGGGTTTCAGTGACCTTATAAAGAAAGCTCTGTACAGATTATCAAATTTTCTTTGACAAAAAGCTGTTGTATGCCAATATATAGTCATGATGTGCTTATATATGGTCATGTGATGACACCATGACCATATTTAGGCATGTCACATGTATTTGTGCCCTGAACATGGGTTTACACACAATGAGAGTATTGAGAATGAGATGCAAACTTACTGACATCAAGTTTTATATCAGTATTTACATTTTGATATTCTTACATTAATCGTTTGTTGTTTGATTTAGAGTCTGTAGTTTATGTATTTTTTATGTTGTATGATCAGCAACATTAGGGAGTAGGTAACTGGGCCTATACTCTCTGTTCGGGCCCCTTGACGGAAAATTTCTGGTGCCACTCCTGAACACTCACCCTCTTTGTCCCAGGTACACACTTCCTGTAGGCATAGTCTTCCGTTACAGACAGGTATTCCTCTAAGCTTTGTGCCGGCATTTCGCTTTCCGACCTCCGCCTCTTGAACGACCTAATACCATCCAGCTTATCTGAAAAAGATAATAAGGAGCAAGGAATATCAGAAAATGCATAAAAAGCTAAATTTCATGTCCCAACCAGATTAGTCAACCAACAATGGTAACTGACTAAATTTACAGTCATTGTAATACTGTATATTTCGTTCTGTATTTTGAAAAAGAAAACTGTTTAAAAAAATTCAAATTGCAACAATTACAAATCAAATCTATGTTATTGTGTATATACATATATGTATATAAATATAAATTTAGGAATGGAATGACCCCTATATTAGAGGTGGTCTAGGAAAAATGTATTATTCCCTTTTTGGATTCGAACCTATAACTCTCTGAATGAGTTGGTTTTGACTGATCTATTTTGCCTTCTTTCTACTCAAACTTATGTTGCTTTGGAAGGATAGGCTAGCCAGATGCCAGCATTATTATCGAGACTACCTGAGAATAATGAGCTGTACCATGCTCCCTCAACCACCCTGGTGCTGCCACTGAAAACCTAAGGAGTAGGCCTACATCAGTGTGGCCCATAGTTCAATGTGTAGAACAACCGAACAATAATAAGTGTCTTGGATTCTAACCATGATGGGTTCATACTTCTTTCTTAAACCACAAAGTAACATCTCTATGTATCCCCAATGAATGGGTTACACTCCATACCAAATTCAATATTACATATAAGAGGATATATATATATATACACAAATATGTCCTTGTATGGTTTCAAAAGCTTACATAAAATGCTTTCATACATAAATTTCTATACGTCAATATGCTACCTATGTATAGATATCGTATATCTATGGCGCATAAAAACAAATGGAAAACAACTAGTTTAAACTGATAGCCTAAAGACTATTTTGTATTAGCAACATTCAAATAACACTACAACTTAAGCAACAGACTTAAAAATACCAACAATACATACCTAGAGTACCTAGGGAAAAGACCATGACAGTCTTTCAAGTACTAAAAATAAATTTGTATATAAATCTAAACCCAGAACAGACATTTTAACAATGTCATAAACACTAATGAAGTATATCACCTTAATTAAAGGAGAAGCTAAAAAGATATAAAGGTGCGCTTATCCTCCAGTTTCTCACGAAAATCTATCCTCTTCACCTGGATGTCAAAAATACCCCGCGAAATTATGCAAATTCAGCGATATAACATTACTGCTAGACAAGTTTTGAATTTTAATAGGAACTGTCTATACACTTGAAATTTTTGGGAAGAAATGATTCAATTTAATTGATTCAAAGATCCACAGGGATTGGCAAAATATGATTGGTTTTCTATTTTACACAACACCCCAACACGTATGCATTCTTGTATTACCTTTCATGTTGGTCTAATGGGTATATAGTGCGCCCGGCCTCTACAATGTTTGTCTTTCATGGATATTACCCTAATCCTCACAGACACACAACCTAGCTGGGGATACTTGCTGCTAAATGTTCCCTAGGACCACATTTGCATAAAGTTTTGTATAATTATGAAGCATTTTTTTTATTTGAAAAAAATCCTTGCTGGAAGAACCTGGGATTGACAGGTGAGCAACTTTACCACAAATAGAGCTCAACCCCCAAATGCTTTTGCCAAATAAAACCTACATGCACATTTTGAAAAAATAATTACTTTATCACATTACAAATATATAGCATGGGAAGATTGGAATTTACTGATAAAAACAAATGATTTGAAATTCAATTGAATTATGGAATTACTCAAAATAGCTGTCATGAAGTACAAAGATAAATTCTCAACTTTTAAGTTTTTACTAAAGATATTAAAACTAAACAATACAAATATTGAAAACTGCATATACTTTATTCAAAACATGTGACATTTCATACATGGTGAACACTTTATAAGATTAATTAATACTTTCAAAATGTTAAAATAATTTTTTACTGTACTTTGTGCTAAGGCAAGACTGCATCTGCATATGTATCTGTTATTATGAAAATTATTATAATCAGCTAACAATGAATTTTACTCAGTTCACATAAAAGATGTTCCATAATACATAACAATCACTTAAGGAATTAGTGCTATCGTTGTGTATTTGACAGTTGATTACGATGAATCACCAGTAAAAAGCTGCTCTTAGGAAGATAAGTTGGCATAATTCCTAACTACCAACATAGAATAGTACAGTAATAATTATCAAACACATTTAAAGTCTCAATTTTAATAAAAGTAAATTTAACTAGTAGTTGGTTATCAAAAAAACTTAAAATTAACTTCTAAACAAATCTAATGTACCAAGTCTTATAATTTTAAACAAAGAAAATTGATAAGGCATATTAAACATAGCAATTTGTTGGAAATCCTGGAACGGCAAGCAATGTGTTTGCAGAGTAGACATATCGAGATGGAACACTGGTGACTATTAATTACCGCCATGAATGCCTAGTTACTGAAACACAATCTCCATTCTCTTTCTTACATTTTATATGAAAAAAAAATATTTTAATCTAAATATTTGTAAATTTTGTTGACAGTCCTCTTAAGAATGCTAATGTATAGCACTTTTTTGCAATCATCAATTTTTTTTTATAGATTATTTTCAGTTTTCGTTTGTTCTTCGTAATAAACATTATAAATATTAGAATATTTCCATTGAAGGTGGTTTGTCATAAAATAAACAATAGCTTTTAGCGGTGTCACATTGTAAATAATAGCTGATCAGACAAATTTGCACTTTAAGTAAAACCAATGTAAGAGTAAAAGATAACATAAAAACACATAATAAAATAAGAATAAAACATATTCTTAACCATAACTTGCTGATTGGAATCATAAATGTCCAATTACTGTAAGGAAAAAGTTTTTTAAATAATCCTAATCTTATATTCTGTAAAAATTTACAGTATCTAACTTTGAAAACTATGATTGGAAATTTTGACTGTAGCATCTCTCACTGAACACAAGACCTACTAATCTATATTCCTGATACCTAGTGCTTCATTGGGTTTCAATGAATCTATTATGATATTTGTTTTACCCACTAAGGGTTTTGTATTTTGTTGCATGACCTGCCCCATTGGATTAAATGATAATCATCCTACCTATAAGTACATCTCGCATATAATTTTTTAATTCATTTATATTGGGTACAAGTCTGCCATGGGAATAGGAAATGGATAACATGTTGCATGTTAAAACAACTACAGTGCTTGAAATCTTGATCCAGTATCATACAACATCAGAAATAAATTATCATGCAACCATCTGCTTCCTAACTACTGCCTGAATTGCCCTAGGCAAAAAATCAGGCTCTATGCAAATGGTAAAACATCAAAACATAATTAATATATAATAAACATTTTTCTATATGCATCAAAATGTCTTCAAAGGTCAAACAACTTTTTATTTTACATTAAATACTAATACCATCTTTGACCTGTGTAAAACTATTAAAACAAATGTTCGTTTTGATATAAAATCAGTTGTACTTACCAAGTTTTTCCATGGTGTACTCGTCCCATCGGCTTCTAGTTGTGTCCGTCTACAAAAGTATCTCAGATAATGAAAAGGTGAACAGCGCAAACATTCAGAAAACAGAAAAAACATTATCAAGTGATCTCAAAGCCCGCGAGCATGTTTAAACCGAGGCTCAGCTCAGCAGAAGGCAGTTGAAATGTCTTCGGGCTGCCTAGATCATGACTATCAGTGCCCAGATTAGGGCAGCAGACATGCAGATCTAAACACTCCTACAGACTTGACTGCAAACTAATTCCACCTACTTCTAAATCAAACAATATAATTATATAAAACATAATTTCATAAAGTAGTATATAGCACAAAATAAATATATTATTTAGCTGAAGTTGAACCTTATAATGCTTCTACAAGTTTTATTGTAAGTTATTTATCAAACCTATATTAACGATACTTCAGGCTGTATTAAGCCATCAGATTTATGTAAATAAGTCCACATGTATGCAAATTAGGAGTAAACACCTGTAGAGAGAAAGTCTGATTAGTTTGGGGTATATTACCATTTGACCATCTGGAGGAGCTTCAGTACTGGTCCCTGCCATCTCCATAGGATCAAAATCTTCCATCTCCACATCATCAATGGCAGCTTCTTGCAGCAGGCCCCTGACATCAGCCATCTGGTAGTGAGCAGGAGTAGACTCCCAATTCTGGATCATCTATTGCAGATATAGATTTTTAGAAACATATTCTAATATGAATGCTAAAATTATATATATGGCAAAGACAAGCCAAACCAGTCATTCGTCGCAAAAATCAATTTTTAGTTATTAATACAGGGTTAAACAGTAAAATGAGAGCTATTAAATGGTAAAAGAATCATTTAAATCCGACATTCCGTTATGAAGTTACAGTAGTTTAAACATAGAGCTGTTTAAACAACAATAGTTGAGAAATCAGCCTTCAAAGTTTAGGATTTCAGGCGTTTCTCATGCAGAAACCATCACCAAATTGTTAAAATTTGTTGTTTTAACATTGAAAATTGGGAAAATAACAACAAAACATGATATAATAGTTATATGAAGGTTAGTTTAGTGAAATAAAATAGATTCCAAATTTTGACATCCCAGGATGTTTTGGTCATAATCTTTGAACAGGATTTGCGACGAGTGACTGGTTTGGCCACATATAACCAGCATTTCCATTTAAAAATGTCCTGATAGTTGCTTCACTAAATCAACCAATAAAAATCCCCTGATCATCAATATCATCATCAATAACTATAATCAATAACCATCATCAATATTACCATCCATATCTTCATCATTACTATCACCATCTATTACCTTTTTTTCATTTCATTATATATATTTTTTTACTTGATAAGTGGACCGGATTGCCAATAGCAAAATAAATCACTTTCAACGTGGCTTTCCAATCCCAATCCCACAAAATAAAATACAAATATTAATGTGTACATTAAATTTATACAAAATATTACCATAATTTTTTTTATACAATTAAAAAAAACCTCCTCCTCCACCTCACACTCATCACCACCATCAACAATCAAAATCAATAACATCACCATCAATATCATTCACCATCATCACCAATACTGCATCACTACCAGAACTTAATACAGGTGACAAAAAAGGTTTCTTTTTTTAATCAATATCTAACAGATTTTCTTGACCTACCAACTCAATGCTCCTGAAACTGCGATTGTGTTCACACCTCTTATGACAAATGGAAACATCATGCATCAGCTCAACAATGTAAACCTACAAAATTAAATATCAGTAAAAATAGTAAATAATTAATTATCAGATATCTACATCTGGAATTACATGAACAGGCTAACCAACATTTCTATGTTATTATTTTATATTGTATATTATGACACTGGTGGGGCCTCCAGTGTCACAGCAGACTGGAGAGCGACAGGAAAGTATGTAACACTATCAAAATAATTTGAGATGTTTGTTGTAATAATAATAATAAAGATTTATAAAGCGCACATCTCCACCAATGGTGCTCAAGGCGCAGTATTGATTGAAGTTGTTTAGAATAATTAATTTACAACCAAATACACATATCACCATCATCACCAATACTGTATCACTACCAGAACTTAATACAGGTGACTAAAAAGGTTTCTTTTTTTAATCAATGTCTAACAGATTTTCTTGACCTACCAACTCAATGCTCCTGAAACTGCGATTGTGTTCACACCTCTTATGACAAATGGAAACATCATGCATCAGCTCAACAATGTAAACCTACAAAATTAAATATCAGTAAAAATAGTAAATAATTAATTATCAGATATCTACATCTGGAATTACATGAACAGGCTAACCAACATTTCTATGTTATTATTTTATATTGTATATTATGACACTGGTGGGTCCTCCAGTGTCACAGCAGACTGGAGAGCGACAGGAAAGTATGTAACACTATCAAAATAATTTGAGATGTTTGTTGTAATAATAATAATAAAGATTTATAAAGCGCACATCTCCACCAATGGTGCTCAAGGCGCAGTATTGATTGAAGTTGTTTAGAATAATTAATTTACAACCAAATACACATAAAAGCATTATTAGCGTGTTTGATAAGAACTGTGCATAGTAAGGTATAATTTGTATCTCTGAGCAAATTGTATAAAATACTCGTGTTTGTGATGTGCAAGATTTTTGTGAGATATTTTATCTCCCATGTGTTACCTCAAATCCTTTGGATCGACCGTAGCTCCAAAATTGGTCATAATGTTCCTTTTTGTTGTTTATAGCATCAAGAATGATGAAGCTGAAGAGACCGCTGTCTACAGTCTTCTTAAATGACTTTAGTAGACTAGCACGGTATGTTTCTTCCATCTCTGGTTCAAACTCGTATTCCATCACCTGCCACAAAAATCGAACCAAACATAAAGGAACAAGATTTCAGTTTAACTGACAACTCTCACCTCAGAATAAAAAAAAATATATATATAATATTAATGTTGACCACTCTCACCTCAGAATAAAAAAATATATAATATTAATGTACACAGTTCACCCTCCGGTTGGAGACCCCTCTAAATTTTTTTTTTTTTTAAATATATTAGTATGAATATTTTTATGTGATTGTACATTTTTTATAAAAGTTGTATGCGAGCATTCCGTTCCTTTCGTTGAAGGATGAATAAAGTTTGACTTCGACTTTGAATTCCGAGACCACTCTAATTTCAGAGAAGTTTTTTAATGTACCAAACTAACAAATTTAAAAAAAAATTGGGTGAAGAGAGGCAAACGTAAGTAAAGTGTCTTGCCCAAGGACACAAGCAATGCGAAGAGCGTCGGTCTTGAACTCCCGATCTTACGATTAGAAGTCCAATACTTTACACTCCCACAAAACTAACCAACTAACAATCTTTTAACACAAGTCTTACCCGCTAAATGAAGACCGAACCCAAGGCCACCCCAAATTTTCAGGTCCCGAGTTAGGTCTTGAATTAGGGGCTGCACTGTAATTAAAATTATTATTATTATTAGTAACTAAAATTAAAACCTTTCTCTTTATAAGTTTTCCAGTCTCTGGATCCTTTTCTGTTTTTTCAGTTTCCATCATGAAATAATCATCTAAGCAAAGCATTCTTGGGGCTTGACCTCCATTTTGAGTCTCCTTCTCTTTTAACAACTTAGCCATGTAAGTCTTTCCTGCTCCTGGAGGGCCTCTCAGGATAATGATGGTATTACTCGAACGCTTCGCACTACCAGGTGTGGTCAGGATATCCATTATGTTAAACAATTCACGCTTTGGCATTGCGATACCTGCCCGTGCTAGATACGGATTTCCTGATGTTTGGTTGTAGACACCTTGATTTGAATAACTGCTGCCAACTGACTGAGACATGCCAAACTGATTGCTAAAATTATAATTTTTAGATAACCAATAGATATGTTATATATTGTAAAAAAATTATAATGTTTCAATACAACTAAAAAGAAAAAAAAAATCCCATGCTAAATTGAACCGACCCGAAAGTCTCATATTCTACCTATTATCAGCAGAATTAAAAAATCACACATTAAACAGAAATGGAAAAACAGTTAATACACAGTAAACCTTTAAGGCGGGCAATCGTATCTTGTATCATGGCTTTGCATTCTCCATAGAATCGCACTGGCTGACAAGTAGTTTGCACTCGTTTCAGAAGAATAATCCTTAACACTACTATATATAAACAATAACTGATATTACAACATATACACATAATTCATCAAATATATAGATACCTTGGTTGAGCAGCAAAGACCGGATCTGGGTCATTTAAGGTATGATCTATAGCTGGCTGAATGGTACCATGTCCATAATCAATTGTCTGAATCTTGACCGCGGGTGGAGATGGTGAACGAGCGTATGCACCTAAAAAAAGTTTTCCAAATCAATAAGAGATATCTTTTTATTCAAATGTAGCATTAGTACGTCCTACGTGCCCCATGACAGTGATGGGGTGTTGCTTCTGGGCAACCCAGCCAGTCATTCTAATTTCTTTTGAACCAGTGAAATAAAATGATGTTGGTATCATATCATATGTCATCAGGCGAGACAAACACCACACTCCCTGGATGGACTGTTGAGGAGGCAGAAGTAGATGAAAGAGGCAGAAGTAGATGAAAGAGACCGAAGAAATGGGACGCTTCCTACGTCAGGGCTGCAAGTGCATATAATGCAGACTGGTAGGTGGGTCGGGTATGATATTGTATGATACTAAAGAGAAGTACACATACTACAGCCCTGTTTAGCAAAACGCTGACTAAATTTCTTTGAAAATTTTAGGTCAGTCTGGCTTGGGTAAGCCATTTGGACCATTGTATTTTTATATAAACCATATAATGTGATACAAAAAATAAAAAATAGTTTCAAAATGCTTCAAAACTTACGTCTATAGTAAGGATCATCCAGTTGGGGTGGAGGATATCCCCGTTCATATACCCAGTCTCTCCTAAAACAGAATTCAAACAAGGTTTTAAACTGTCCTCCATGGAGTTAAAAAATAAACTCTTCACTGGCCTATGATTAAGAATAGGATCACAACAAGATTCTCACTATATTTTTTTTAAGGGTCTGCATGGTTTTTTCCATTATGACTATCTTCAGAAACTTACTCTTTGTTGTGGTAACTGTATTAAAAGAGAACTAGCAAAATGATTTTTTGTTCTAGAGGGGAATTTTGATATGCCATTTATAATATAATCAACCTTAAAATCGCTTTTTGGCAATTTCTTATGGAGTTATAGGTCATTATATACGATTTAATCGTGACGTCACTGGCGAAAAAAGTAACAAAAGATCGTGTAAATAAAACCGCGTAGGGTATCCGCCGCGTACATTATGACTATCTTTAGAAACTCTTACTTCATTTTGCTAGTTCTCTTTTAAAGGTTTGTTGAAAATGTTTGGTTCCTTATAATTGTTCTATTGCTTTTTTTCAAACATATAAACAATTGTTGATAATGGTTGCTATGGTGATTGAATTGTACTACTAAACCTAAAACTGTCTTTCATTGTTCCATTACTATACCTATCAAGTCCACGTTCTCGAATTCTCTCATCCCATCTGTCATGATACAATTCTTGTGGCCTAGTGTAGGAGTCAAAGGGTGGGCGTTCAAATCCTCTGTAACGATCAATTCCAAAGCGATCCTGAAGAAAAGTAATTGTAAAAGAACATATTATTATAGTAAAGATACCAGAAACACAAGACAGAGTTCTCCACAGAAAAAAAACTGTTGCACCGAAATGCATGATGGGAATACATACAATGGGGCGCCTCGTACGACTGGATTTTAAAAACTTGCCACCGTTACATAACTGTGAATACATAATCTCTTTTTGCGGAGGTTGAAATCGTTGCCATTATCCATAAGATACAAACAAGTAGGCATAAATGAACCAAAACAATAAAATGACAGACACGAAAGCACAGAATCGTATGACCAGACTTTGATTAGTGATAAAGTTTTCCTGCATTAGTGGAAAAAGAAGGGCACCGTGTGTGTCTGTATATACCTAGCAACAGAAGGGCGCACTATACATCTGGACCAAGTAGAGAAAATCTGCATTATATAGAGAAGGGTGCCGCGTACGTCATGACCAATTTCCACCTCATTTTTGTTATGCGAGTGCTAAATGTTGTATTTCTAGTAACTTTGATTATAGCTAAAGCTTGGGGCCTATTTTTTTGCCATTCATCCTCCCACTTTCAAGCAAAGGGCGTATTCGACAGGTTCGTTTCATTGACTACGAATTTTCGTTGAGTACTACTTTCATTCGATTGGTTCGTAAATAGACTTTGTTGACAACGAAAATTAATGTAAACCAGAGTGCGTTAATCAGCGTTTAGTTATTCACGTGACAAAAACAAACATGGCCGATTGGTGAGTTTAAAAGCAACATTTGTGTTAATATAATTTAGATTCAATTTCAGAAAATAAAAATTATATTTACCTACATGAAGTCAAAAAATAATTGTAGGCCAACAGAATTCAAAAACTGAATGAAAATATTTTTTTTTACTAAAAACCCATACTGCCACAAGCTGAAGCAATCTTGACTACACACCGTGTATCGCGGTAACTATGCAGCCATTTTGTTTTGTCGAGTATTTACAAATTTCCTTTTCGACTGGTCGTCTTCATTAAGTAGGATTTTACCACTGCGCAGGTGGGCGTGGTTTAATGAAGAACGACAAGTCGAATACGGCCAAAGATAATTGAAGATAGACTAGTTCGTAATATAGTGGCCCTTCCAATTGAAATGCATTGTGGGAAAATGTAGTGCATGAAGACCAACTTTATGCCAGCTGTATAATCAAAGGCACCGATTGAGTTTGTTTCTTAGTTTTTCCACTCCGTTAAATAGTCTTCTGCTTGCATGAGGGGCGGAGGTTCCATCCATTTTTAATGCTAACTACACAAGAGCTCATTCTTCTGCTATATAAGTTCTTTGTTTCAAGCATGGATCAATGCCCTTGGTAAGTTAAAACAATAGAAAAGATTTTGCACAATTGAGATATATTACATACGTACTTACATCATAACCAAGTCGTCTGTCATGAGAATGCATGTCCATCATGTATGATGGTCTTCCTTGTAAATGAGGAGGCGTCAAAGGCCCTCGAACTCCTGGTGGTGGGGGTGGTGTTCTTCTTCCTCCAGGCATAGGCGGGTAGCTTATAGGTCGATGTGCTTGGTCTTGTACATTATCATTAGGGTTCATTAAAAACTCTTGGTTGTCACGTGGCTTTAAGGTTTTTTCGTCCCCACCCGCCTCTTTGTTGACTGGATTTAACCGATCTCTCTCTCTTGCATCAAGGCGTTCATTTTGTTTCTGCCTATCATTGTCTCTGTTTCGGTCCCTTCCAATGTCCCTATCCCGGCTTCTGTCAGGACTCCTATCTCTGTTTCTATCACGATCACGGCTTCGATTGCGACTTCTTTCGCGAATCCTATCACGATTTCTATCAGAATCACGGCCACTTGCTCTCTCTCTGCTATTGTGTCTGTCTTGATCTCGGCTAAGTCTTTTATCTCGTTCACGCGACCTGGAGCGTGATCTTTTAATATCCCGACCAAACATATCTTTTCTTGTGGACTCGCCCTTCTTAGCCGCAGCTAACCGTGATAACTCCTCTTTCAATGTTCCTCTTGATTCCTCTTTATTCTTTCCATCATCAGATTCCTTTGTTTTTGGTTTCTCTTCATCTTTCTTGCTGTCCTTGTCTTTACTAACACTTTTGTTTGCAGCTTTTTTATCCTCAACTTTTTTCTGTTCATCTTCTTGCTTCACTTCTTTTTTCTTATCTTTATCCGGTTCATCTTTTTCTTTCTCACTTTCGCCAACTGACTTTTTCAGGTCACTTGTATTTGCGTCTATTCTGGATTCACTCATTAATTGCTGAAGATCCCATTTTGTTACGCCACCCCCTTTCTTGTTTTCTACATCAGGTTTGTTTTGTAGGCCAACTTTTTGTTGTTTTACAACATGTGCTGGTGGAGGGTGTGATGGAGGGGGTGGAGGGATTTGTTTACCAGGTGCTTTATTTAGAATTGCTTTTTTCTCAATAACTACCGGTGACACAACAGTAGTCTGTGACGTGATGGTGGATACATCACTTCCTTTGAAGTGCGATTCGCTTGATACTGTAGGAATCATTGTTTCAACATACTTCCCATCTTCACTAGATTCTTTTTGAATAACAAGAAAATTGGATAGTTTGTCATTTGGATGAACAACATTATTCAGTGTCTGTTTTACAGCTGTTTCCTGTTGCATATGTTGAGGAATGTTGAATTGCTGACCTGCATGTGGATAACCAACATCTTCATCTGCATGTGGGATATCAAAGTGTTGGTCTGTATTGGCAATATCCGTGGTTGCACTGGCATGTTGAATATCTACATCCAAGTTATTGACACCCTCAATATCAAATTTTTCGGCCTCATCAGATCCTTCCTCTTCTCCCTCTTCATCAGAATAATCCAAGCTGTAGTCATACTGCTCTATGCCTGGTGGTACCGAGTCATTATGAATCTCTTCAACATTAATGCTGTTGTCATTAGAGCGTTTCATTCGGTTAAGTTTTGCTAGTCTTCTGCGCTTTCTCCGCAATGATGAAGCCGACTGTCCATTATACGGTTCACCGATAGGCCTGTTTGCTCTGTTGTATCCGTAAGGAGCGTCTTTACTGAATGGACCTTTTCCAATTATAATCTTTCCCTTTCCTCTTCCAGGACCACCCATTTGTCTACCCATTTTTTCAAGCCCTTCCATCAATGGCCTTGGTCCACCCATTCCACCTCCTGGCCCCATGGGACCTGGTCCACCCATTCCACCTGGCCCCATTGGCCCACCCATCCCACCTGGTCCATCCATTCCACCTGGTCCTCCCATTATACCTGGTCCCATTGGCCCTGGTCCACCCATACCACCACATGGTCCAATCGGGCCTGGTCCACCCATTCCCCCACCTGGTCCCATTGGTCCAGGTCCACCCATTCCACCACCTGGTCCCATTGGTCCTGGTCCCCCCATTCCACCACCTGGTCCCATTGGGCCTGGTCCACCCATGCCACCACCTGGTCCCATTGGTCCCATAGGGCCTGGTCCACCCATTCCACCACCTGGTCCCATCGGTCCTGGTCCACCCATTCCACCACCTGGTCCCATCAGGCCTGGTCCACCCATTCCACCACCTGGTCCCATTGGGCCTGGTCCACCCATTCCACCACCTGGTCCCATTGGGCCTGGTCCACCCAATCCACCACCTGGTCCCATTGGGCCTGAACCACCCATTTCTCCAGGGCCTGCTGGACCTTGTCCACTCATTCCAATTTCTTCCCCTGGGCCACTAATATTTTGTTTACTTTTCATTAGCTGTTCATTTCTTATGGCCTCTTTCTGCTTTATTTCATTTTCTCTAATTTCAATCTCTTTTTCAGTGGCGGCTGACATCTGTCTGATCTGAATTTCCCATTCTCTCCACTGCTGTTCATACATACGATATAATTCCTTGTCAGGATGGCTTTTGTTCTCATCTTTCCACTTCTTGAATTCAGATTCCCATTGTTTAACTTGTACTTTAAAAGTTTCCTGCTTTTGTTTCAACTCTTCCTGAGGATACAAATGAAAAACAAAATGAAGTTTTTATACAAAAATTAAAAAGCTAGTCTATTTTATCCAAGTATTATTTTAAATCTCACACTGTACAACGATGAAGTGTGATGTAACACTACAGTCTAATTAAACAAAAGAATACAGAAACTTACTTAATTCTGATGAAGAAGCCATACAGAAATTTGAAAATATTGATGTTATCATTAAGTTCAAAGTACAAGATCTGTGTTGCCCAAACGCAACCAAACTCAAATATGATGAATACCAATAATTAATTATTATGATTAACTATTTCAGATTATACCTTTGTTGGTGTCGGATGCAAAATATGTATAGTGCCCTCTATGTAATGATTACGAAATAGAGCATCCTCTGTTATATCAACAAAAATTGTAGTGAACTACTATGAATTACTGTAGTGCCCTCGGTCAGTATAGCTTTGTTAACAGAAACTTATATGGCATGTATTCACATTTTAATGACAAATTCACTTCATTTTCATGAATTTTAGGGTATAATTTGCCTATAAGTTATATCTTTTAAAAACATTTTTATGATGCGCAACATGTAGAAAGTGAATGCTTATGCCTGAGACTCGTGCATTATGCACGATAGTTGGCAAGTGTACAGTATTAAATACATTTAAAAAATAATTAAGGCTGAATATTACAGTAATGTTACATACTAATGTGATCTTGTCAATTCCTTGAGCATGCTCCTGGTTCCACTGTTGATGGTTCTGCATCATGTTGGTATAGTTGTCTCCCATACCAACCATGTTTGGAGGCCCCTGTTGCTGCCATTGTGCAGCCTGATTTTGAAGCTGCTGAATTCGGTTGTCATCAGTCTTGAATAGGTGAAATGAAAAGCTTGTTATTAAATTTAATTTTGCATAAGCCTCACTAACTAAAGCAACAATACATAATTTTGCTCAGGGAATTTCTAGTGGTAGGGTAGGGTGCAACTTCTTTTTTGAAGGCCAGCCCTTCTTAATCAGATGCTACTGCTTAACTCATTTTTACAAAAGGCATCATAGATTGATGTTGAGAAGTATCATCAATTTTATACACCAAGGTTACATAATAATAAAAAGGCCTATAACATGAAAACTTGGAGGCCTATATAAAATGAAATATGAATGAGTGGGGCTGTCATTGAAATAATTTGTAAGTACACAATTATTGTTGGCCGCCGTTGGACAGAAGCGAAATAATCTATTGATCCGATTAAAAAAAAAACAAAAAAACGCCCTCCCTCCCTTTTTTTTTTTAAAGAGTGATAATCTAATAATTTTTTCTATGTGCCCTTAGATGCTACTGCATAACTAATTTTTACAAAACAAGGCATATCATCGATTGATGTCTAAAATATTATCAATTTTATAAACCAAGGTTACATAATAATAAATAAGCTTATAATATGAAAACTTGTAGAATATAAAATGAAATATGAATGTAGGCCGTACGTAGGCCTAAATGACATCGAAATTCGAACATACTGAATGCCCACTTGGTTACCTAGCTGGCGAACTAAACACAGTTTTAAAACATGATCGATCTAATAATAAGGTAGGATATAACAAAACAATAAAGTTCTAACATTGTTTATTAGTAAATTGCAACATGTTGTTAAAAGCTGGTAAACTATATTTCAATATTGTTTACGCATTGTTTATCAGCCCGACAATCCAGCCTACTATCATTGCAAAGCTAATTAAAATAACAATGACCTTCGTAGTGGTTCGTAGCTACGTTCAAAACGTACCTACGAGGAGATTACAGAGGTTACGCGCAGATACGAAGCGATAATTTGTGTCTGTACTGTAGTTCGTGCATCAATCCCCACTCCACTTTTATGTCTCCTAGATATGCCACTGCTACAGTAGCAATATAAACTACTACTGCAGTTGAACTTGCGTAAGTCAAATCCAAAATTGCATTGACAAATTTTTTCGACTTTGACAAAATTTAACTTACAGATTGTTAATAATGGAAAACACAGCAATGTAAAATAGGATTGACTTAGAAATTATTTGAGTTAGGCAAAATGGACTTCTAAAGGCAAGTTTAACTATACTCACTGGAGAAAATAACTTTTCTTACCTCAACATCAGGTTGATTGCTAAGGAATAAATTGTGCATGTTCCTTTCTTGTTTACTTTGTTGATTTCCTCCTGGGCCTGGTCCCATCATTCTACCTGGACCTGGTCCCATTCCACCTGGACCCATGCCTCTTGGACCAGGTCCCATGCCTCCTGGACCAGGTCCCATGCCTCCTGGACCAGGTCCCATGCCTCCTGGACCAGGCCCCATTCCACCAGGACCACAGCCAAATCCACCTCTCGGTCCCATTCCACCACCAAATCCCATACCTCTTGGTCCTCCATTGTTATTAAAACCAGGCCCAGGCCCCATCCCTCCTTGTTGGTTTCCAAACATCATTCCTCCTCCGCCAGGGCCCATACCGCCAGGGCCCATACCACCTGGGCCCATACCACCTGGGCCCATACCGCCTGGGCCCATAACGCCTGGGCCCATACCGCCTGGGCCCATACCGCCTGGGCCCATGCCGCCTGGGCCCATACCGCCTGGGCCCATGCCGCCGCCGCCACCAGGCCCTTGTTGAAAACGGCCTGGACCTGGTCCGTCCATCATTTCATTCCTTCCACCGCGGTTGAAATTCGGGCCGCCTGGTCCTTGAAATCTCATTCTCACAGGATCCGTAATTACTGATTATGCATCTAGTAGTAGAATAAATGTAATTGGATTCAAATTAAGTACCAAAAATTGAGCAAAAACTCAACCAACTTTCATTACAACACATGAACATAAACCTCCTAATCGTCAAAGAGGTCAATCGATCCAATCAACAAACAATTCATAGATTGTCGCCCTCTAGAGCACGAACAACGCGCTTAATTCTCAATGCTGCGTTGCATGATGGGGTGGTTTTGCGTTACATTACATATCTTTGTAAATCCAAATTAAAGAAAAAAAAAAAAAAAAAAGGCTTAACTCATAAATGAAAAAAGAAAATACACACATATATACTTATATTAATATTATTAAATGTGTGTTCCCCTTTTCCAACCAGTGCGAGGTGTTACATCCTGCTGTCTCTTATACACATCTAGATGTGTATAAGAGACAGCCACCACCTGAACCATAACATAAGATGTGTATAAGAGACAGGTGTAGGCTTTTACCTTTGAAATTCAGAAGCTATGTTGATTAAAAGTTAATGTTATAACATTTCTTTACAGTTTAGCATCATCAGGCGAACATTTTACTTAATTTAAACTCTACAGTTTTTTTTAATATATTCTAACTTAATGTTTAAAAGTGAAACTATTTTTACTGTTATCAGTGACTTTTGAGTCTGTATGCTTTGCTGAATGTTTTTTCCCTTGTCTTTGTTAGGCCTATTTAGGGCCAGATTAACAAAGGGCACAGAGGACCCAATGGGGGAAAATAGGCCCCCGAACACCAGGAAAAATCACCGAAAATCTAGTTTTATGTTTTAACCAGAGTATTTAGGCCCTCTTGCAATTACAGCCCGAGGACCCACAGTCCTTTAACTAAGGTACCTGGTGCTAATTGACATTTAGTTTGACTTGACATGGGAATGCTGATTGGTGTGGGGAAGGGGGGTTGAAAGTGAGCTCGATGATTAAATGAGGAATAGCTAGCTCGTAAATAAGGTGTTATGAGGTAATTTTTAACTACTTGAGCTAAATTTTTTTGCTTCCCATACTTAGACCATTTTCAATGGGAGGTGGGGTGGGGGGGAGGAGAGAGACTGGAGGAGGCCCCAGGCACTCCTAGATATTTCTCTGTATAAAGAAGTACCATGAGGTTGTCAGTCAGGTGTAGGTTAGTTTAATGAAGAAGGCTCCTGCCCAGGGCTTCTTTGGCCTTGCTTTGGGGTTGTTTTGGGCCGGAGTGTTACCCTCTGCTGACATCACCGCTAAAATGGAAGTGGAAATATTATATACATAAAAAAAAATATTCATGAAACAGCTGAATGATTATTAGCTTTTTTATTTACTGTATTAGCAAGGAACTTGCTGAACATTCTACCTATTAAGGCTGATTTACACAGAGCTCTACTCAAAAGTAACAAAAAACACTCTTTTGCATATAGTACAATTTGTTTACACAGCAAACAACAATGATTCTCACATGCCTAGTGTTTGTAGTTCACTGCTGTGTTCAGCAACAGATGATTCGTCAACAGTTTTAGGAAATAGACAACTAGTCTGTCATGTGAAAAACCTTACTCAATGTACCGTAATATTCATTTTTTCAGTCGCTGTTGTGTTCTGTGTAAAGAGGCCTTTAAATAGAGATATTTAATAGCACTAGTCTACAATAGCTAGATACAGTACTTGGTATTGTTATTGAGACAAAGATGAACCTCCAACTTCCTGTCCCAACTGATAGGTAAAAATTAGTATAATAATAACTCTATAATGGTAAAATATAATCACTCATGAAAACAAAAATTACTATTTTCCTGAGGTGCCAATCAAAACCAATGAACAAATCAGGTAAAAGAATCTATTGAAACTGTTTAAATAGACCATAGAGAAAATAGAACAGTTCTATTTTCTCTATGAATAGACAGAGCATAGCAGCATTGTAAATATTAGTTACAAAGGCAGACATACTTCATCAAAAGCTAACACAAAACAACTTATAATTAAGGGAATAGTTTTTGAAGGACACAAAAAAACCATAACATATAGCACCCTCTATATAAATGGTTACAAGTCATATTTCCTCCTTAGTTTAAACATAAAAACACAGTACAGTACAGTACAATGTAGTATACACAAGCTTAAAATAATGTACTGTATATTATAATACATGGCAGTTGGAGGAAACTAAACATTGTTCATATTGTCAAAAATATAAATTCAAACAATATTTCCATTCAAATGCATCTTAATTTCCATTCAAAACATTAATAGAAATTTAATTATTGCCAAATCAAATCATGCCAGATATGACTCAAGATGTAATGTCATTACTTTTGTTTTTCTTCTCATTGTGTCTAGTGTCAACTTCTTACCCAGTTAATAAACAGCCAGCTCTAAACCATATGCAACATAGTATGCTGTCTACTGCATGAATATGTATATGTATTAGTCATTTACAATGGGTGTGGCAACATAATAAAGGAATTGATGACAGAAATACAGTGAATGTCAATTCGTTAATATTTAATTATCGTAGATGAATAATACTAATAATTAAGGGATTTGTACACTTTGGTTACTGAAGTGGAATGATCATGATTTTGTTGGAAATTTTGAGGTACAGTTCAATGGAAACAAGTTCTTTCACAGAAATAATTTTATGTATATAAATTACTTAATCTACTCTATCAACCATATTCACACTACAGGCTAACAAATATAAATTATAATCAGAAAATAACCAATTTCTGGGATAATTATCTGCTGTTATCTAATATATAAATGATAACATAATAAATGTTAATATTAGAAATTAACTAAATACTGTACTGCTAATGGCAAGTTCATCACAGAAACCTTATAGCAAAAGAATTTGTATCATGAAGTTTGAGTACGTATATTTTTTATATATTCACAAAGTAAATTATACACGTCATTGGAATAGAAACTACAAGTTACAAATAAATAATGTTATGAAATAGTAACAGGCCGGTCATGTGACTAGCCATAAGATACAGAAACCCAAGAAACATTATGTCAAAGGTGAGGTAGACACAGAGAATAACATAGAAATGTTATATGGCAGAGGCCAAATGTGAGACTGAAAATTGAAGACTTTGCAAATTGAGGCCTTCTCCTTGCAATGGAGCAAAATAGGCTCAGTAGCGAAAAATATCCATAAATTACATATTTATTTCAATCCAAGTCATCTGTAATAAACTATAGCCTTGGACTATATCGAACTTGCCATATAGGTTTAAATTTAAAAGCTTGAATGCCAAATTGGAAGACATACAATATGCAAAACATAACTTATGCTGTTATATTCACTATAACTTATTCTTTTTTTTTACATCTGATGTTCAAGTATATGTAGCACTAGCAACAAACTCGGTGGTATTATACCAGGCTAGTGACTCAGGATGGTGTGGGTTTGATTCCCACTGGAATCAACCGAGATATTTTTCTTATTTAAGTACTTGGTATGTACAGAGAATTTAGTGCAACACTAAATCAGTTGGGAAAGAACAACATTCTTAAGAAAAGCAGATTATTGATCTAGGGTGGTATACATATGACATACTCAATTATTTTAAAGATATACTGACAGTGCGAGAAAAAAGCTAGCATAAAAACTACCTGAATTGCTCATTTTAAATGGATAAGAATATATTATCAAATTCTAAACACCAACTCAGGCAGCCAGCATAGACATGATGAGTTTGTATAGGGACAGTTGTTTCGTAGGATATTAAACATGTTTAATATTTTCAGATACAACGATGTCTGAGTTGTTCTTAATGAGAAACACATCAACAATTAGTTTTGTAGATCTATGCACAGATGTTTTACTACAAAAATCCTTAAATTTATTACCAGACAATTTTTTTTTACTGGATGACAGACTTTCAAGAAAAACCATAAACTGATTACAAGCAAATTTAAGAGTCTATGTAAGGATACAGGATCGGTACTCTTTATGTATCCGTTAATTGGAGAAAATATTTTGCCATTTTAACTTTTAATTAAAAAAGTAATAAGCAAATCAAATACTTAATTATATAATTATATAATAAATTTAATTATATAAATAATATTGATTAAGGTTATTAGCTCCACACATGCAGTATATCCTTAATATTGTTAAGCACTCTAACTTGGCCAACTTTACATTAATTCAAACAGTTAGTAATAAACTACCAATGGATAAATATAAATGGAAACTATACAATGTACAGTAATGTGTATTTATGAGAATACTATCTTAAAGGGATTTTACAACTAAATTTCAAGGTCACCTACATTTAATTTAATGTAATTGAGGCATATACGCATCTTTTTATTTTTACGACCCTTTAATTCTACAATTATGTTGAAAGGATTTTAAATAAAGTATGCATCATTTCCGAATACAATTTAAAATCAATTTGACATTGAAATTGTTTTGATGAAATTTGCATAAGTCTATGACTGTCTTCACACAAAAAAATTGGATTATGACTTCAAATACAACAGAGGGCTATATAAGTATATCAATTCTTGTCTGTGTGTGTTTTTATGTACTGGCAAATTACAGGCCCGTAGCGCGACTTAATTTTTGGGAGGTTTGTTTCAGTGGAAAGTGGACCCTTTGGAAACATTATACAAAATAACAAAACCACAATTACTATTTTTAGGCCACCTGCTGCGTCTTTTGGCGTGCTGCATCTTTGGCGCGTGCTTTAAATTCTTCGATCTTTAGTAGAGCTTTGCAGATCATGAAATCAAATTTTAAGAAACTAAAGCTTCGTCTACACTATTAAATTTCAATAGTGACAAAGAAATTTGATGTGCTCATACATGGGTACGAAGACGTCATATCACATACTATCAAATTGTATCAAAAATGTTCAACTCTTATTTTCCATCACATTTTATGTGATGCTTTTTTGATGAAATTTGATAGTGTAAGAAATGCCGACTTGAAATACTTCTGGCTTGTATGATCTCCAATTCTCTGGAGAACATTGTAAATATATCTACGAATATCAATTTTTCGTTTTTTAATGTTGACCTTCTCCAGTTTTTGGGCGGTTCGTCGTAACCCGCTTAAAAACCCTCCACCCACGCTACAGGCCTGAATTGAAGTCATTGCCAAGCTGACTAATATATATTGCATAATTAAAACCTCAGCGAAAGCTGTGAATGTTCTCTGAGGCCAGCACACAAATGTGCAGACTCAAAGAGTGGTGATAGATTTGTCGACCAGCGGTTGTGAAACATAGCGTGTGCCTGTCTTAATACACCATAAGTGAAGGCATAACCATGTCAGGTTAGCCTTCATACACAATTAACTCAAATTATTTTGGTTGGTGGCTTAGAGAAAATTAGAATAATACACACATGAAGTGTCAAAACTCAAATTGAGATAAATTTTTACTTAACCTCTTGAGCCTTAACTGCTTACAACTTTTGAATTTGACTGAAGTCTTTATCAAATTATGAATGTAGCTTATGACAGTTTGCTAGTTGAATATAGTTCTATATAAATAAAACTACATTACCTGTATAATAAATTTAATCAAATCACATCTATTTTTGTAGTGTAAACAGTCATTTCGTACTATATTAATTCATTTCATTATCCAAAAAAAAAAAAAAAATTATACTTCCATTTGTTAAAATTTTAATTCTTTCGAATTTAGTGCTGCAAATTTGATTTTAATAAACTTGACCTTGATTTAGTTGAAATTATTTTAATTTCAATTATTTAATAAATTTCAGAGACAAGAGCTGGGACTATACATAGGCAGCCTCATTTTAATCTACAGTTATCAACAGTTTATCAATTGCAAAGAACTTGTACAAACAATAGCATATGGGAAAGTTCCAATTTTTAACAAAGAGTTACTAAAAAAAAAACTATTACGAGGATAAAACTTTACTACAGTACTATTAAAAAATATTAAAATTAATGGGACCACATAAAATTTGGAAAACCCTCAGATCGCTCATTTAAGTTGATATACAAGATTTTTTTGACTGAATACTTACAAATATTTATTACAAAATTCCTTAATTTTGATTACCAACCAATTTAATGGTTTATCCAAGTTTTATTTATCTAATAATAGGCAAGCACTTTTCCAACTCTAATTAACTTATTTGAATATACAAATACGCAATTCAAATATTAAATTATATTTTTAAATTGTTTTATCAAAATCAACACTGAAGATTTAATTATTTGTTTCATCATGCCAATTACTGGTATGTAGGATATCACTTAATATATTTTTTGGAATTTATTACACAATATTTGTGATTTTTTTTGTATAATTTAAAGTAAACAAAGCCTGCGTAAACAATTGTTTCTCTCGAAGTTTCCCAACGCAAACATCTCTTCAAATAAAAATAATTTTTGACAGTATGGAATTTGGTACAAAATGATAAATAAAAAGACAATTCTGGAAAATATATAGATATTTACCATTTAAAACTACTTCCGGATCATTGTAAGATATTTACACCATAAACAAAATAATTTAAATTGGAATCCCAAGAACTTATGGATGAGTTACTATGTATACTGTATAAAGCAAGGAATTTAAGTTCAATAGATTGGTTATCCCTTCAGATTCATACACTACCTATTGTAAGTGTGAGCATTAAGTGGAATCTCCCTGCTTTCCTATTTAACTCTATAATTTATGTGTTTGTAAAGGAAACCAATGCTCCTCACAATTAAGTGCTGTACATTTATATAATAATTATTATTATGGTTGTAATTTCAATCTTAATGGAGGAAGATTAAAATAAACAATTCAAGGTGAAAGATCAACATTCAAAAACTATCATACTAATTCTATATCTAAGCATTTAACAGTAGCATTCTTTTTATTTTGGTTGTTCAACTCCGCCATACTTTGGTCGGCCAACTGGTGGGTATGAGGGCGGTATTTGGTGAGCAGGAACTTCAGTTTGATCCTCAAGTTTCCTCCACACAACCTACAAAAATTCCAAAGGATATGACAGTTATATATTTTCAAAAAATGAACTAAAATTCTAGGCTCACATAATACAGCATGAATAATAAACAGGAAATATCTGGTCCCTTTTGGGCCATTTATTACTAGTTAATTTTCCATGTGAGGGAGATAGAATGAACCAGTGGTAGGCTAGTTTAGTACCCAGATTCAAATTCTGAAAATACCAGATTTTTGTTTCTCACACTAAAATAAACTCCTTAACCTTTAGTGATGGGATAATAATAATTAATAATACTGTAATACTATAAGTGATAAAATATTGGTTTTCATGGTAGCCAACATTGCAGGTTTTTCTCAGCCATAATAAGTTCTATAAGACAGATTTAAACAAAACATGATTTTGGTAAAACAACTAATGATCTATGTGACACATTTATTATTTTACAAATATTTATTCATTTCAGAATATTTGAATAATGTTATATAATTCTTATATTTCTATAGTGCAAGTTAGTAAGTTACTCATTGACGAGTAGGGAGAAAAAAAAACCAACATATAATAAAATGATGGATTAGAACATACATTACACATTTCCCTGACGATAGCTCTCTCTTTGTCTGACATTGACTCGTTCTCTACTGGAAGCTTCCTGTCATCAATCTGCTCATGTACCTCTAACACCTATAATTCAAAATGACATTAATGTTCACAGTAGATATCCTTTGTCACATGTAATATTTCAAAGGACTTGATTCTGACTGCATCCTTATTAAGTTTGCTTAGGTAATAGCTGAGATAAATGATTTGCCATTTCTAATAATTAAAGAAAAGGGGCAACGAGACATTGCTGCATATATAAAATTTAATGTTGCAACTCGAAACTGATGTCTTGTTCACTTTCCCTGCATATGATGGCATTTGGTCAATGTTTGGTTCCAAATAGATAATAGATACTGTACATGTGTATATTACAATGACAATAAATATATTAAATACATAGATGTACATGAGTATATTATACACAGCATAAATTTAATAGTAAGTATAGATAAACAATTAGAAATAAATATACTAAATGCATAGACATACTATATTATACACAGCATAAAGTTAATAATATGTATAAACAATCAGATGTTCAGATACAGATACTAAAATGTAAGTTATATACAATGAAGGAAATGGAAATAACTAAAATCTATATAAAAAAAAACAGATTTCTCTTAACTGGGAAAACAAAAACAAATGCACAAAGTATACATTTTGATACTAGATTTGTGTGCAACAAAACCAAATAATATTTCTACTTTTTATTGAATTTGTATATATTTGAAACTTTTTCACATTTCTTTGCACACAAATGCAAACCATCTAGGTTTATTTGTCTTGTATTTATTGATTTTTTTTTAGTCGTGTGTAGTGAAATCAGCTAACTCATGATGGACGTAAATACCATCTTACCTTAAATGCATTGGCGACAGCATCTGTTTTACCTCCACCTTGATAATGAGGCATCATCTACCAAAATAAGAAACACACAATTAAATCAGATCAAGCCTGGCCAATTAGTAGACTTATTATTTATATCATGTTGACAGGGTAAGCATCCCTTGAGTCTACTAAGGATGTTAATTTTTTTGGTTGGGACAAATCACCTGAATAGCCCCACATGACCTGTGGTACGACAAAATACCGTACCTCATTACCAGTAGTGGTTGTCTAAACTAATACCACTACTACTGAAAGTTGATATAGCTCACAAAATACTAATTGCTATTGTGACCCTCAGAGCTCAATAAACTACTGTATGTATACTTTATGAGACTTGGTTTGGAGGGGCTGGTTTTGTATTAAAGAATATCATGTTTGTTATTAGCCATTTCAAGAAGCCTGCTCTTTAATTTTTTTAAGTTGTTTACTTCTATATACTTCAATCATCATCATTGTAGTATCTCTACAAATGTTGTTACAAGTACCATGGACCTATTAATAGGTCCATGCAAGTACTTTTGTTGTTTGCTACAAGTAGGTTTGCAATCCTTCAGAAATAGTTTAAATATTCAACTGAAGGTACATGTGCTGAGTTATACTTTTTAAATGATACTAAATTGTTGTTTAATTGTCTTTTAAATTAATTTTAATTTTTAATCAAATATATCTAGTTGAGGTTTAATAATTACACATTTTTATTTAAGTTTTTTAATCGTTTATTATATTTAATTAAGTATTTTATTTTATAATAGTTTGGGGATACAAAATAAAACCAATACAAACAATATAATCTTTTGTCAGGTATGCAAAATTTATATTACAAATATTCTCAAGAATCATATGTTCTTTTTTTGGATCAGCTCATGTGTCTTTTGTCTCCGCATCTGCAGAGACAAATTAACTTAATATAGCTTCAGAGTTTGAAAGTAAATTGATGTCATCTCTAAGTAATCAAACTAATAAAAACAATGGCAATCAACTGTAAACATAATAGATTAAGAGGACAGAAACATTGTCGAACAAAACAAAACAACAACCGCATTAGTCGGCAATCTTCACTAAATATTTATTCTATGCCTGACCACTTAATTAAGCAAAATAATTACTGTATTCTGAAAATCAATCCAAGTTGAATGGGAAAGAATATAAAGCATCCTTTTATATCTTTGAATTCCTAATTGATTTTCTTATGGTGAAATTCAAGGCCAAGTTCAACTTTCTCTTTAAGCGACCGTTGACTTATGAAACTATAAGCTTTTAAATCCAGTAAAATGCTAGAAGATGTTGCTAAGAAGTAGATCTATTAAAAGAATCCAAGGTCTATGTAGAAATGATAGCAATGATGGATTCGCAGAAAGTATGATCAGATCAAGTTGATTATTTTAAGAAATGATCTGGTGTTACAATAATTTTATTGAACAAACAAATTTTAAATTGAAAATCTATTCATAATAATAGAGGACGATATGATTAGATTAGTCTGAAAATTATCTAGTGATTTGTAATCACGTAAATTTGGAAGAGAGAAAGATAATAAGCCTAGTACTATTAACTATGTTGCGAAGCTACCTTGTTTTCAATTTGTATTACATACATAATACATTTATATACAGCATAAAATAACATAAAAATAATGATTTCTTTTTCTTTGTTCTGTACAGTCGATCCTATTAGTATTGTTTTTCCATACTGTAGCACCCAACATTACTTAAAACAATGTACTCATAAGAAGAATAAATGACCTCTTGTGCTTCAAATTATCAAATTGAATCAAACACCAGATGGAATACTAAACCTGACTCCTTGGAGTGAGTTATCAAATTATAATGTGAATATTATTTGAACAAAATTGTTACTTACACTGGATGGCTGAATGTCTGGGTCCTGACCATCTCCCTGTCCATTCCGTTTCAACTGCTGAGAGAAAAGAGTATGATATCACTTGACCACAGTTTACTGTACATACAGCAGGGCTGGGCATAAAAATATATAGGAGGGCCAAATTTAAATTTTGATTTACACAGACGGAACTAAGATGTCCTATAACAAGGGGTTTTCTAGCTGAGGATTGTGGGCTGCACACATGGGTTTTTCTAAATATATTTTTTCCAGTCGCAAAAAAATGCTTTTGGGCCGCATGTGGCCTGTCACACTTTTCCCAATGTGGTTTACATATTGCAATTATAATTAAATGCACTGTACAGTTGGTATCAAATAAGAAAACACGATACAAAATAAAATCATATTAAGAGAAGTAGACAGCTTGGTATCATTGATCCTTTCCAAAGACAGAGTTAATATGTAGATTTTTTTCTCTAATTTTTTTTTGGAAAATCCAAGTTTAAATCAATATCTTTAGTTCTAAGGGAATTACAGAAAATAAATCATTACTTTTAACTGCAAAATATTAATACCGTGTGTCCTGTGTACTACAATCTAAGCATCAAAGTAAAGGTACTTGATTATTCTAATGACTCTAAAATGATGTTTCAAGCAACTGACAATCAAAACATTGAGACACTTTCAACAAAAACAACATTTCTTTTCAGAGCTATCTACTGTACATGATGTACTACTAGCATTTATTATCATCAAATATACAGTAGTAAGTCATTAACATAGAGAAAAGATACAGCTATCTATTTTGTTTATTAGACTAAATGTGACCAGTTAACTTATATAGGCCTATTATTATCATAATTAAAAACTGTAACTATGGCCTTCAATATTCAATGTACAATATCTTCATAAAAGCAATGGCTGAAGCCAGGAATGAATTATTGAATGACTTGAGTATAACAATGAAAGGTGATAGCAGGTGGGTTTTGTTGAGTCTAGCACCATAAACCACAAACATTATGACAAAATCTGAGGTTCACCTTGTCAGAACAAAAAGTAATTCACATACCAATGGTTCCAATGTCAGTACACTGATTACAAGAGTTTGTTACAATTTAACACCTACAATGGGTAGGAGGTAATCATATGGAAATACTGTAGACAAGTTCTTTAAGGTAACCTGGAAAGGGGGAAGTGAATTATAAACAGTGTCTCTTCAAACAAACCTTAGGGACAAGGGATGGGTTTGGTGAAGCGTACTAAACAGAGTTTGCGTGAGAAGGTGCTAGTTCTACTGGGCTATTCAATGAATGTAAATGTCCTAGATGTCACTGGTACAATAACTGAATTAAATGCTTTTAATTCAATAAATATCTACTGAATTTAAAATTCAGAAAAAAAGAAGATAAAGTATTAAAGATCTTGCTGTGTACAATAATATCTTTCCATCATAAGTAATAATGACTTGATGAATGAAGACTTTCAACAATTTAAAAATATAATATTGATGGTAGTTCCATTAGAATGTATAAAAGGGAAATAAATGCCTTGGTTAAGACCCATTGAGTGATTTTTCAAGTTCAATGAGAAAGTAAGTATTTTAAGAATTGCAGACTGTAAAGTAGAAGAATCATAAATTCAGAAAGAACATTAAGCCTAAGGAGCTCACTTGCATACCAACCTTACAGGGGTGTGCAGAAGCCACTCCAAGACATGAGACACTTGCGCTACCTATTCTACTGAAAATTATTAGGGACCAGAACTACCATTTACCAAAATCCAGTATCGGTTGAACTACTATTACGGCTATGTAACCTAACAAATTAAACTTGTTCTGATTCCCGATGGCGAATAGGACCACAGTTATGACCGCTTGTAATCTTGACTGTAAGTTTGGCAACGAGTTGAGCAAAAAACTTTGCTAAAATGTGTGAAAAATTATACTACTTTGATGATACAGGACAGGGCAGGGACTTTACCAATTTGGCTGGTATTTCCCACACTTGTGCTACCAAGTCCTCGCAAATATACCCTATACATGCTGAAACTCTTCCACAAATTCTCACAATTATGCTACCAAGTTCTCAAAAATACCCCAGTAAATGCGGCACCTACTCATATAGAAAAATTTAAGAGTGACTACTATTATAAGTAGGTACTTTTCTTCCAATTACACAATCATCGGTTAAATCTTATGACAACATTTTAAATCAAATATATAGTTCAGACTTCTTATAATATGCAACATTTTTGAGAAACTCTGGTTGTATGTAAAGATAATGAAAAATTCTTGATTTATAAGAGAATGTTAGTGGTTCAGGGGCCAATCAAAGGATCATAATTAAAAATAAAGGCATTACCATACAGAACTTGAAGCATGTTTTAATGTAATATTCCTTGCCTGATACAAAGAGGTATTAGTATTATACAGTTCTTCTTTAGCATCTTCATCAAATCAACTTTATAAATTCTTGAAGTACTAGAAATAGTGATAAAAGATTGGCTTCCATCATTATCTTGCAAATGAGGAAAATAAGAAAACCGTAGTTGCTCATTAACCCCTGACCCTCCCACTTCCTATAAATATCAATCAAGTGTTAACTCGAAATTTAGACCAGAAAAAGTCAAATATTGGCTGTATGCCAGCCAACGTAAATCATGCTAATTGAATCGAAAACCCACAGTCATGTGGATAGTTTCCATGGTGATAGATGTAGTTTTCAGTTTTTATTGATGGTAAAATAAATTGTTCCTGTCTTGCAATTAAAATGTCTTGAATACTGCAACTATTCAGAAGTTATGACTGAAGGCAGTACTAAAATGAATTATCATTGGAACTTAGCATAGGGGAAAAACGGTAAATTTTGACATAACCGATAACTACTCCTTTCTGACAAGCACAATGTTTTTCAAAAACCAAAGGATCCACTGATTATTCGCAAATAGAATACGAGTGTGGTGGCTCCGAAGAATGACAATTGTGAGGCCATAATTGATTCTATGTTTCTTTCTTTATTAGAAAATTGTCAAGAATGACAATTTTTTTCATTTCCTCTTCTAACGTATTTTTAGGTCCCCTCCCTTTCTTATACTTTCATAATATTTACTAGCGAATAAATTATTGTAACTATTAAGATTAAAATTAATATAGGATTCATTACATTGAAAAATATTAATTATAAAACTATAATAATTATGTTCAAGATGCAGATGATCAACCAATCAATCAACCAATAAATAATCAACGTTATTTATAAGGTGCACATGTTGTAGTGCCGCTGTGTTTGGGATATTTCCTGCAATCCCAAAGAAAAAAGATACAAAATTTACCCTTCAATGAAAATAAGCAATTTGATTGAGTTACAATAAATAAAAAAAATGAACATCCTTTGAAGTATAAATTATAATCTTTCTTATCCTTGTCCTATAGTACATTCTCACCGTAATAGGATTCGACTACCGGTAATATTATGAAGACATGTACCTTCAATTACAGAACAATAATTTGCTGTATACTGAAAATTAAGTTGATGGTTTTCGCAAGTGTTTTGCTTAAATATTAAAGCAACTGCCTGTAAAGAAATCAAGATACTGCGATGTAGAACTATTTATCTTAAAGCACTGCACAAATGATATTGATTGCAAGCTCTGTTCACAAGTGATGGGTATCGGCAATTTACCATATATGGACATGGTGATGTTATATCTCATCTATATTGTCACATAAAATTTGGTAGTGAAAGAGCTTTATTAATGGTGACCTATACTAAATACTACTAGTGTAATAAATAATATTCTTTATTCTTGGAATAAAAAATAAGTTAAAATTATTTATGCTCATCATCATTTTAAAAATCTAAATTAAAATCGTCACCATATCACAGGTACTGTATAGTATTTGCCATTCAAATTGGATAGTGTTGAGAGAGTTTTAATAATTGCTATTAAATAATATTAATTATTCTTAGAATAATTTTTAAATAATTTAAAATCCTTCATGTTCATAATCATCCCTAAAATTTAAATAATATCTTAATTAAAGCGAGATCGTAATCTCAACCCACAAATCCCAGAACTAACACTGAGTAACAGGATTTGATGTTGTACAGCTATGCCTACAGATAACATCACAGCACTTGTTGAGGAGGCTCGCATGGATTCTCAATGGGGTATTGCTAAAGTTGTGCCCAGGAACTAGGCCTCCTCAGTACCTTTCCATACTTTAAATTCAATGGCATTCCAACTCTGAGGCTTATAAACAGATCAGAGATGTGACCTTACCTTAGCCAGTTGTCTTTTCTCCTCTTCTAGTACCTTCACACGCAGCTCCAACTCACGAATGTAGATGGCTGTTTGATCTGATGAGAGAAATATGAAACCATTTTTAAAATATTGATGGTATGAATCTAAATTTTTCAGGTTCTCATCATTGTGAAATAATCTTCCTGAAACAACAACTTTAATAATAAAATATGATCATCTCATAATTTATATTATTTACTATATTCATATTATTTTTATATACTTCCTAGTAATTTGCTTTATTTTGAAATAATATCATCCAGTGTGCAGGTATTTTTAGGCCTACATTATTACAGTACACCTATATAATATCAGTAATGACAATTATTATATTCATAGTTCATTCATTGTATTAATATTAGTTGCTATTATTGTCACTATCATCATTGTCATCATGATCATAAAATACAGCATCTTCACAATCCTTAAAAATATTCTATAGTATGTACAGTACAAAGGCAAAGTTGATCAGGCAATTCATTACACACTGATCACTGAACATAAATCAACACAAGATTACACTTTGATTTGGAGCCAACTGTAGATATTTTATTTCTCATCGGTAGAAATGGGAAGTATTGTAAGAAGAAATTTAGTCCAATAAAAAGATCACCAGCAAATCATGTGAAAGAATCCCACAGGTCTTTTATCTCTAGTTGGGATTACCTCTTTACATACTCTATCATATATGTCACTGTTTATTCCATCTACACCTAAAGTTTGTTGTTATAAATTTGTTCTCTGAAGCACAGTATTCTTTAAGATGCCATAATAAACTACTGCAGTACATTGATTGATGGGGTCATCATCATGTTTTTAACCACTAGAGTTTTTAATGACAGAGGCAATGACCACTACAGGACAGACAATTCCATAAATCCAAGTTTTTTTTGGTTTGCATCATTTTTAAAAGGAATAATCATGAAGTCAAAATCCTGCATAAATCTAAACATATTAATGTGTTTTTTTTTGGTTTTTTTGGTTTTTTTTAAAAGTACTGTTGGAATTTAGCTGTAATAAATTTTAAACTTTAATGTCAAGGAATATTTGACTTGAGTTTCAAGTTGCACTATTTGGATCTCTTGGAAAAATAAATTAACATTTTTTTAGCTAGATACTAAAACACTTGGTATGGGTACAGTACTAATTAGAGTTACTGCTTTGAATTTTATATACAGTAGCTAAACATAGTAAAATATAAAAATACTATACTGTACAGTGAATAGAAATGCACTGATTGTCAAATATTGAAGATTTACCAAATACTTAGCCTGCAAAATGTCACTTATGAAAACATCACACAAAAGCAAGAATTTGATTGAATGTTTTACTTTTAAATCTGAACGTTTGACTTCCATTTGAAACAGTGTTCAAAGAAATACACACAAAAAAAAAACACTCCGATGGTGCTCCAGCCAATCAGAGTAAAGGCAGCACATTTGGGCAAACATTTTGTATGCGAAAATATGTTTATTGGCGTCTTCTCCAATTATCAAATACTCAATAAGTACACAGAAATGTTTCATAATTATCAAAATTCCAATATGATAAAATGTGTGCTTATAAGGATTGAAGGTTTCTATATCAGTGACAGCACTGAATGAAAAATAAATGTAATATGAGCTACGGGATTTATTACAGTGATTTGTTTCTCTATGAGTATTATTGTCTCAAGTGTAGAATAATGGTCCTTTATTTGTCTAGCTTTGACTGGAGTCAGGAAGCTGGTCTTTTGTTCTCTTATAATTATCCTAAGGTTAATTCCTTACAATGACTCATATCAAGCATAAATAGTGAAAGGAATTTTAGAGGAAATATACATCTCAGATATTTAAAATATTTTATCATAAATTTCTTTACATTTCCTTTTAATATTGTTTACGCTATGCAGTATTAGAATGACCTTTGACATATTTTAGAAGGCCATACAGCACCTGTATGGGCAATTCATGTGGATATAATACATAAAGTAGAAGGTTAACAAAATAGATAAAATATTTATTATTATTATAACATCCTAACTGCAGTGCAAACATTGGAATGCTTTACTGATGATATGTATTATTACACACAAATCATTATACTGTATACTGCACCTCATCACAAAACATTGTTTACTTCTTATGGTGTCCATTGTTTCAACTTTTGCAAATTCTTAAAATAGTACAACCTGGAAGTAGGAATTTTCATTCATGTGTGACCTTTCTTCTAATTAAATGATTTATTTTCACATCCTAGTATTAACAGATAGGCCTAAATATTATTGCTAAATACTAATGTATTGTTCTACTATGATTCATAATATCTTGCAATTTATTAAATATTTAAAATATAATTAACTCCATGTACTACCACTGAACCACTAGGGCTCCCTTGGAAAGCACTGTGTTCTTATGAATGGTTGAAACCTGTAAGTTTAATAAATGGACTTTTGCTCATGCTTTCACCGAATAAAACACACAAAATTCTACACATTTCAATGTAACCTTTTGTCAGTATTACAATGCTGACAATAAGTGCATACTTAAAATTTTCACAGAAAGGATAGTGTCAATATTTGGTATTCATACAAGAATGTCAATACAATTGTAAAATGATAAGACACAAATGGAGTACAGTACTGTAGTGGATAGTGCAGCTATAGTCTGGTAGCCAAGATTACTGTAAAACCAGAAACTTTCGCGGTACGAAATTTTCGAGAATTGATAATTTCGGCCATTTTCACAAAATTAAACTTTTGCGAATCACAAAAGGCCTAAATTTTATTCATGGAGGAATACCATACAATAGCTGAAAATATCTTATTGTGAGTTCTAGGCCTAGGTTAGATAGGCCTACAGCCACTGTCTAGGCTAGGCGCCATATAGTGTTCCATCTATAATTAAATTTCCGCCGACGACCTCAAGATCTACAAAATCATCAAAACTCAGGAGGACTCGCGCGCGCTTCAGGAGGACATTGATCGTCTCTTTCAATGGACCACCGTTTGGAAACTGTCCCTGAAGCCTGAAAAATGTAAAATTTTGTCATGTTCCTTAAAGAAAAACCTTATAATATATGATTATAAAATTGATAGTACATTTTAGAAAGGGTAAAAGCACATCGTGATCTTGGGTGTCCACATTGATGGAAACTTAACCTTTTCCACCCATGTGGACACCATTGTTAAAAAAGCAAACCAGCTGCTTGGGACTAATGTGGAGAAATTGGAAACTTCTTACACCATCAGCAAAATTTACTCTATATACATCAATAATTACTCCATCCCTTGATTTCTGTTCAGTTATCTACAACTCAATATCTCATACTCATTCTATTAGAATAGACCGGATTCATAACAAATTCATGAAGTTCATTGGCCCAGCTGCCGGTTCGTTTAGTTGCGAAAAATTTTTACCAACGAGTAGACGAAAATGAAACGATCTTATTTTCTATTTAAATGTTTAAACTGTAAGTTTGATTGTAACCTTGTGTCAAATTTTTATTTTCATGTTCCTGTGCGTAGGCTTCGTACCAATCATTTGTTAAAAGTTCCGTACTCTCGTGTTAATGTTTGTACTAATGGTATTTTTTGTCGTGTTGCACTTTCTTATAATAATCTAGTTCAAATGTTTCCTGATATTGATATTTTTAATTGTAATATTTCTATTTTTAATTTTATACTAAATATCGGTTTTTAATATATTATTACAGTACGATTTTTTTATGCTTTTTAAAAATCTTATATATTTTTATGAATGATATTGTATATTTTTAGGGCGACTCTGTTATTGGTGTTTTGATACACTGTTGAGTCTTGAATAAATAAATAAAACTAAATAAATAAATAAAATGCCACAATTGTTGGCAGATACAAACATTTTTAAAATTTTACTTTTTGAGAAAATATAAAATAATTATTTGAATCAATAACAAAAATCCAAGAAAGCTTTGACCAATCAACCCATAAAAAAAAAAAAAAAAAAAAAAAAAATACACAGTTGCATACCAACTTAATAAAATTTACTTTGGAGTTTATCAGATTGATTTTTTTCTTAAAAAACAAGAGATGGATACAGTAAGTAGGCTACTTTAGTACAATCCAGAATTATATATGTCACTGTCAGACCATGATCATCAGCAAGCTGCTAAGTGCTATTCTAACAAAATGAGAATGACTCATTTAATCACCATGGAAACATATCCACACCTAACAGTAACCTGGTTGACTTTAGCTTAAATGTCTGCATGTAGTGAAACTAAAGCATGGCATCACTTATTGTATTTTCCATATGAAAGCAACGTAAATAAAATAAAATCTTGAGAACTCAAAGGAATCCGAGCAGATGATACATGGAAGTATGTCAGTTGAGACTTCTGCCGGTATGTATTTGTCTGATGCCTAATGTCACAAAACACCCGGAAAGTCCTACAGGAATCAACCTCTTTCAAAAGCATTGAGTGTGCATGATTAAAGCCCAGATACAATGTGTCATCTTTGTGAAAAAAAAATAAAGGGATTTAATTCTTTTTTTTTAACTTGGCACTAATAAATAATAATAATCAATCGACTTATACAGTATAGCGCATTCTGTGTTGTAGAGACCAGATGCGCTTAACATTACGGTATTACCCCAGTCCAATACAATTGTAAAATGATAAGACACAAATGGAGTACAGTACTGTAGTGGGTAGTGCAGCTATTGTCTGGTAGCCAAGATTACTGTAAAACCAGAAACTTTCGCGGTACTAAACTTTCGCGAATTGATAATTTCGGCCATTTTCGCAACATTAAACTTTCGCGAATTGCAAAAGGCCTAAATTTTATTCATGAGAGGAATACCATACAATAGCTGAAAATATCGTATTGTGAGTTCTAGGCCTAGGTTAGATAGGCCTACAGCCACTGTTTAGGCTAGGCACCATATAGTGTTCCATCTATAATTAAATTTCCGCCGACGACCTCAAGATCTACAAAATCATCAAAACTCAGGAGGACTCGCGCGCTTCAGGAGGACATTGATTGTTTCTTTCAATGGACCACCGTTTGGAAACTGTCCCTGAAGCCTGAAAAATGTAAAATTTTGTCATGTTCCTTAAAGAAAAACCTTATAATATATGATTATAAAATTGATAGTAACATTTTAGAAAAGGTAAAAGCACATCGTGATCTTGGTGTCCACATTGATGGAAACTTAACCTTTTCCACCAATGTGGACACCATTGTTAAAAAAGCAAACCAGCTGCTTGGACTAATGTGGAGAAATTGCAAACTTCTTACACCATCAGCAAAATTTACTCTATATACATCAATAATTACTCCATCCCTTGATTTCTGTTCAGT